ACCGTTTTTAACACACCTTTTCAAATAACAATCGCATGATCGTATCGAGCTGCCATGCTTGTTTTGCATGTTGACAGTTTTAAAGCACGCACTGTGTTTGCACCTAGATCTCGCGCGATCAAAATACCCTATGGTGCTTAATCACGCGTTACGTATAAACCTTGTTGCAACCCTCTCCACAAAGCAGGAAGACTGAAATATAAATAATTCGCATCAAATGGGTTGTTGTAAACTTCAAAAGCTCTGACTAAAATTTAGCTGTAGTAAAATAATTTGAGTGGTAGAAAAACATCTGTAACAGGAAGACTCATTTTTGGGTTTGTGTTGCATAGTTTTATTTCGGCTTCTGCCTACCTATAATATCGCTCAGATAGCCTCGCTTTTATTTTATTTTTCGAAGAGTGGAACGAAATCTCTTGAAACCCGCGAAGGGAGTCCGCCCGACGACTTGCCGACCAATACGGAGCGGCAAAAATATCTGCGGGTGGACCTCTGTTCCTTTGGAAATGCCGGGTTTTTTGTCGCACTCTTCAAAGCCAAGGCGAGATACAGGTGACCTTGGTCAATTGCAAGCAAACAAGCTTTCATTTGAACTATTAAAAGAGAAAAAACCGTGTCAAATTTTCCTTCTCTGTTTCAAAGGGCTTGGCGCGTTTTTCTTGCAAAACCTGTTTCCTTACCGAGCTCGGTAATTTAGGGGGACTGTCAAGAAACGGGCCCATGTTTCCATTTGTAGGATCCGATAGGTTTGCGCGCGACTGGTGGCAAAACTTTCGATGCCGTTTTTAAATACGAAAGCACCAGAGGTTTGAAACCTAGTGATAATTTTGAGTATATGGTCATTCGAATATTGAGTCTGTTATAACGGAAACATGTTTGTCAAAAAGTAAAGCTTTAATTATGAAAACATTTTCCGCGATGCTTTTAAAGGTTTAAGAACTCTGTTTTACAGCCGAAATTCACCTTTCTTCCATTCGGTTTCTTCTAGTTCCCGTGCAGCCGTTCTCAGGGTCTAATAAACCTCAAATGTAAACTCCAGCAATGTTGATAGACTTCCAGGGCTTAGGTTCAGGCTCAGGCTCAGGCTCGGGCTCACTTCTAGAAAAATAGCTCTATTTGTATCGAGCGGAAGATATTAGAGCAATATCTTCAGCTTCCTCGCCTCCTGGGCTCTGTCTGGGGTTTTCCCATGTGTATCGCGCACCAGCGGGTATCCTTTGCACGGCCGTGTCGTTGTTATTATTATTATTATTTTTGTTTTTTGTGTTCGTCAGTTTTTGTTATTAGCCGCGACGCCTTTTTCACGTTGATTCTTTGCGCAAGTCTTTTATTTAAGCGTGCAGTCATCCGCTTAAGGTAATGCTCAAAGTCAAAACCGTCAGTCGTGTAGATTGCTGTCTTGGGATCAATAGCATTGTAACGAGAGTTATCGCAGAATACGCTGATTACACAGCACGGATATTTTGCAAAGCTATGTCGCTCTATTGTGTGAAAGAGAATTACAAGAGAATTGAAACCCTCCAGGTAACATACTTCAAGTTTTGGTTGTTGACAGTTTTGGACAAATTTTGCGAGAAGTGTTATTTTCCATCAAAGGTTGTCTCTGAAACATTTATCGTTCGCTGAACTCTTGTGCACTTAATTTTCAGAGCATGCATGTATTCCGAACACATTCGAGCTTCTTCTAGAAAAAATATTTTGACATTATTTTAGTATTCTGTGGAGACGAAAACAATTTCGTGTTAAACTCCGCCTTTGTTTTGCGTATTTCTTGTCCTTCGACTCTTGTTCTTCCGTGCATGTTCACGAGTTTTATGCTAAGTATCGAAAGATTTCAGATCTCAGCCAAGGTAAGCAAAAAAGACTGCTTCAAATTCGTGTATAATTCCTCGGTAAAAAACAAGAAAAATTTAAACTCGTGGCGTAGAATTCTATCCGGTGGCGTGCGCAACTAGTTGAACTACACCTCGTCGTGTTTCACTTGATTTTCGAATAGTGATATGTAGGACAGTGTAAGCAATCTGAAGGCTGTCTTTCGATTCAAAATTTTAGGAATAGAGCTTTTTGTCTTATTTGTTTAACTTTTGAATATCAAAGTAGGAACATCTTTAGAATCATAGTCATACCCATTCAAACAGAAAAACGCCTGTAGTCCTAATTCAGATATATTTATTTTGTTGTGAAACTTGCAAGAGCGAGTCTTTCGCGATTATTTACAGATTTTGCCCTGATTTTGAGGTTTCGTTGTACACGTGAGTTCTACAATTTCTTTGGCTTAAATCTGAAAATTGGAGTTTTCATAGTATTTCGGGTAGTCTCTGTTAATTTGTTCTTTCTTTTCTATATTTTTCACCTGCACGCTTCTTAACTCGCACGTGTGGAGCGTGAAATTGTCCTGAATAGAGTAAAATTAACATTATTTGTCTTGTCAAGTTTCATATTTGTTGACTGCATACAAGTTTTTGCTACCGTGTTGTGTTTACATCACTCGATAAATTTTTGTATTTGGTTAAGTTCTGTTCGACTCTGTCCAAAAATTCTCGATATCTTTCGATAGATTACTTAATCTCAATTTGTCATTTATTAAATGGCAAGCTGGTTCAAATTGTGTCTCACCGATTCGTTTTAATGAAATCAAAACTTAGTCATCGCCACTCAAATGAGGTTGCTAAATCTTTTGGAAGTCTGGCTAGACATCTGCTCTCCAAGCCTGTGTTTTTATGCAACTCTTGCTGTGACCGGAATTTTTTTCATTAATTTATCTCAAAGTTCACGTGGTAGCAGTTTTGCAATCGTCCGTCTTTTGAATGTAGGTTCTCTGTCTTCTCCTCAAAGACACTTCAAAATGCGTTTCTTTTGCGTTCGCGTACATTAACTCTCAAAACAAGTGTTATTTTTGCCGTTTTGGAGAATGATTGGCTGCATTATGTAAGAGTTATGTTATTTTCAAAATTGTCTTTGAATATGTTAAGAATTTGTTGTTTTGCTTGTTCACGAGGCCTTGTTATTCGCTAAAAGTAGGAAGCTGTTTCCTTAATCGCTCCTGTTTGAATAACAATGAAAAGGTTTCCAAGCGTTTTGCCTGTAAGCTTTAGTCGCTTATTGTTAAAATGTGTTATACTCTAACAGAGTATGCTCTATGTAGGGCACCAATTTACTACTTTTAGCCACAATGTCTTTGGGACATTTTGTTTTTAGTTGTCAATTTTTATTTCAGATCCGAGCCAGTTTTCATTTTCCAGTGTTTTCGGCACATAGCGAGAAGTCAAACCTGTTCTTATCAATTATTCATCAAGAGAAAGCTTTCATTCGAAACAATTGATCAAAAAATAAAAACGAGCTTAAATACCGTTATTTCCGGTCGAGAAACAAATTAAGACTTAATTGACACCTGTAGACTTCTTAAAAATTCTGTTTTGGCTTCCTAAAGGAAAAAAAGGTCATTATGTAATAGCACAGAAAATTACATTTCCAAACTGGTAACCAAGAGATTTTGAAAACTGAGAGTTATGGGAAAAATCAACGCAGGATATACAGAATCAAGAAGTTTGTCGAGACTATTTTTGACGTACTGTATAAGTCATTGGGTTAATACACTTGAACAGTGCTTATCCGTTTTGTCAAAATTTAGATGAATCTATGTAGACATAACGTTACAGTCACGAATCTGTAGTCGAGTGACGGTCTCGTCTCACGCTTTGCACGAGGGAAAGGTATTTCAGAAATTCATCGTTTTGTTCCGAACGACAGTTTGGAACAAAACTGAATGCAAATTTGTTAGATAAAAATTCATTCCTTTCCGTTGTTACAGAATGCCCGAAATAATTTCTTTTGCCGAACAAAAGTTTTAAGTAAACCTATTTAATTGTTGCTCTCCAGAGTAAGGGACTGATTAAGCTCGCTCATCCGGCCTGGAAACAATTCTTCCATCACTTTCGCAGTTCTTCTGCGTGGTACAATGATAAGAGTTTCTTAAACGGCTTTCAATGAAGCAAGTTTCAGAAAACGAAATTTATCTTGTTGACCTCTTTGCTCTTTCGAAACATCTTCAAGTTTTATTTTTGGTGATCTCTGCACGAAATCTGCATAAATTCCTCTCTTGTTTTAATTTTCATCGGTCGGAGCAAGTTAACAGGAAGTATGAGGTCGTTTTGCGTAAAAATTCATTCGTCACATTGGAAGGCTTTTCTTTTTTAACCGCGACAAGCTTTTAAGGATTGTCGTTAGAGTCTTAACCGCTTTGTTTCCATTACAAATATTGACAGCCCTTGAACAGGAAACAGTGTGCATTTTTTTTTAGTAGTATGAATTTATATGCAGGTTTTTTTTAAAATCATCCGCTCGTTACAGACTTTCGGCGCCAGGTAACTTTGTTTCCAGGTACGACCACGTTTTGGTACTGAAAGGAAGAACGTTTCCTTTTTTTTCGGCTCTTCAATTGACGCAGAAAAAGGTGTTCTTGAACCGTGGCTTACTTTAACTGTTTTAACGCGTCTTTCCCTAATTCATGCGAATCACTCAGTGAATTTCGAAAGCAAATCACGGAATATTTAAGTAAATCCTAAATGACTCGCGTATAAAGTTTATTTACAGTAACCCTTAAGGGCTTAAATGCGAAGCTCTGAGGCACTGCCAGTGGCTTATCCGAGTTTGTTGCTCGAAGGCGAAAGCTAAGTCTTTGAGGCGAGCATCACTTTAGTAATATTTGTTCATTTCAAAACAACCTTCCTTGAGTAAGACGACACAAAGGGAAGCAACATTTTGTGTGTTAGATCGATTTCCCCGAGGACTAGTGCTCCTCCCACTTAGCCGAGCCAGCCAATCACGTTAGAGAGCGCCCTAATTATCATGTCATGTTATATTGGCCTATTTGAAACCTGTGAGAGTTCGAACAACTTTGGGTTATCTAGCGGGTGGTTTGGTCAGCCCTGAAGCCGAATTAAATACTGTGAACAGCTCTGTGAAGTGTGTCCGTGCTGACAGTGTGTTCCTCTCTCCAGATGACCACTGCTTGCGAGGAAAAATCTACGGCGAATTTTACTCGCGAAGTTGGAGACCAGTCTTCGGTGAGTTAGCGTTTGGGATGTTTGTTTTCGTATTTATTACTGTAACATGGTTGAATGCGAGTTTCTCGTGTGCCTGAGGATGACCTGTTGTGCGAGAAATTGTTTGTTTACCTTCCTGGACAAAATGTTAGGTCTTATTTACTTGTTGAACTAAAACATGTGCAATTTGATCGCGATTTTGAGAGTCTCTCTGTTAGCTTTAGGGCGCCTGAGGATGTCTATAAAACCTCCCTTCCTTGGATGAATTAAATTTGTTATTATTATTTTGATAATCGAATGCCGCGGGGGGAGTTCGAACACTAGTGTACATATCACGGTAAGGAGAACAAACTTGATCACAGCAATGACATTTCAGGATCGTGTCTCGTGTTTTTAGGCACATGGAGAGAAGTGTGCTGGGTGCAAAGGCAGAATTATGGACCGATATCTTGTGAAGGTCAGTGGGAAGGCATGGCATACGGGCTGTCTTAAATGCTGCATGTGTGGATTAGAGCTCGGCAAGGAGGCCACTTGCTATACCAAGGAAGACAAGATTTACTGCAAAACCGATTATGCAAGGTGCGTTTCATTTGCGTGCTCATTTCAAGTTTATTTTCTAACTTTTACTCAAAAGTGCGCCTCTGCGGTTTGTGGACAGAATTTATACGTTGCTAGCATCAGACAGTAACGAATATGTCGCGCGGATTGGAATTTCGGGCACAAAATTTAAGCTTAATTTTTCTGTTGTTATTGTCGTTGTTGTTTTTTTTTTATCTTAGCAAGGAAGATGAAAAGTGGCTGGTAAAAATAAATTTACTAGTTTCTCTTAATTGATATGGCCACAAATTTATCCAAAGGTGAATAGTAATTTGCGTCCGTCTTCTTTCTAGCGACATTTGCAGCTTCCTTTCAATTTTTTTGTTACGTTGTTGTTTCCATTAAGAAGTGTACGGAAATTACTTTTCATCTCTTAATTTGAACGCTACGTTCCCGTGCCGGTTTAAGTATGAAATCTAGAAGTATTTCAGGCTGCCAAGTTTCCTGTATTCTACCAAAACGCCTAGGAACACTGGAAATGATCTAGACTGAACCAGTCTGAAAGATGATTTCCGATAAGAAAGCCTTAAGGAGGCATTTTATCAAACTCGTTCATTTAGTTTTGACGTTTGATTTACGGACGGCTTAGGCGAGGACTTGTTGGACCGTTAAACAATCAAATATAACAAAGGTCCCCTTTTGGTTTATAAGGCTGTACTAAGTGAAACCAAGGTCTCCGGTTGCGGGACATTGCATTAACCATACCACAGTTAAAGTCTTTTATGTAACCAGCAGATTATTTCTTAATCCTCTCTTGCACGGTATCTTTAACGAAACCATTTTTAAGTGGCTTGAATGAATGGTGCTGGGAATGGTTCCAACTACATCGAATTTAACTCCACTAAATTTTTTTTTGGTTTTTAGTTTGGACTAAGGTATTTCGTTGTTGTGTTAGAGAAGCTTTTTAAAGTGTGCAGATAGGGCGATTCATTCTTTAATGCGACGTTAGGACCGTCGGTTTATTGTCGACGAAGCGACCACCTCTAAAGACAAAGTGACCGCATAAATAATGCGTTTGATCCGTTTTAGCGACTTCGCCAAGTTCAGTGAAAACTGAGTTTCCGATTTTGCGCGTTTTCTTCACCAACGTGCGCGTATTTCTCCACACGTTTGTGTTCCTGTTTAGCTTAACTCTCAGCTGATCTATTTTCCGTGGTTTAGCCGAATGAGAATTTCCTGGCCGAAAGGCAGAGGTGATTTAGAAACACCTGCCTCCTACGTGTAAATGTAAACATAGCGAACTATGTTTAAAATGCAAACTTGCAAATTATTTTTCACACCACACATCAGTGACCTTATTTGTGTTTCAAAGTGGTGAGACTCACTTCTTACAGCTTTGAAACCTGGCTTGGAAGACGCTTTTGTCGGGCTGTTCGAGTGTAGATTTGTAATAAATAGTCCCATTTTCAATTGGATTGGAAATTGGTATTGAGTGTCCTACGTATAATTATGTCTACAAAAAATAAAAGATTTCAAAAATATTTTGAAATGCGATCACCTCAATTTTCAATTGGCTTACTTCATTTGGTTTCGTTCAAAACTGTTTAATCGGTGCGCGGTTTAGTTTGTGTCGGTGTAAAACAACGTTTCACTTATTCCGACTCGTGATCTGGTACTTAAGATTTCTGGGCAGGAATATCCAGAAAACAGTTATGAAAATGATAATCATAATGAAGTCAATCGAAACAAAACGCGTTCTTATAAAAAGAAAGGTAACGGTAATTTAAACGTAGCAGATGCGAAGCTTTTTGAAACTATAGGGTACGGTTTTCGTAACCCTTCAAAAATGTTCATTGCGCGGCTGGTTTAATTTTACTATTAATGTGACTTAGGATAATATTTGCCCTTTTAACATAAATGAAAAATTTAAATGAAGCTAATTCAAATAGTTCTTACTTCGATTTGGATCCCATAGCGATGAATGCAGAGTTAAGGAACGGTTTCGCAATAGCCTTTTTTTTTACGCTTATGTTTAATAATTGTTATTTATCCTGTACTTATACACTACAAACTCTTGTTTGAAGTATCTTTGTGTATGTGGTTATTACCCGCCTCGTGTGTTTGCCTGTTCACTTATGTTGCCATGAAAGTCTGTCGTTAGAAGCCATGCCTAAGTGTGTTTTCAGTGGTTTGTCTAAAACTAAGCTGATTTTTTCGGCCATTGTATGATTATCGCACTTTATCTATATGTCAATATTGCGACAACTTAGAGAACTACTTGCATGTTAGAACGTAACTGAATACAAACGATTTCTTTCACTCGGAAAAGCGGAACTTTTTCGCCACCCTTTCCAGCCCATTTTGCAATAAGTCGTGGTATTATCCGCGGGAATATTCGTTATCGCTTGTATCTTGTTGCTGGTAAACATGCACTAAAATCGTGCTCATTCTCTTGTCTTCATAACACTAGAAAAGTGAGGAAATTTGTTTCAAACAAAAGAAAGAGAGCTTCTCCCCTCCCCATCCAGCCCTCTCTTCACTAAATCGCGATTTTTTTTTGCGTATTCTTATTAATCCTGGCTATTATTTTACGATCTACAGGCAGTTTGGCACTAAATGTGCCCGATGCGGACGAAGTATCCACGCAAATGACTGGGTGAGACGCGCGCGGAGCAGCGTCTACCACCTCGCGTGTTTCGCGTGCGACGCTTGCAAGCGACAACTTTCTACAGGCGAAGAGTTCGCGTTAAAAGAAGGACATGTTCTTTGTAAATTACATTACATGGAGAGTTTGGAAGTTTTCCCTCCCGATAACTCCTCGCAAGATGGTAAGTCTTTGTAGTTTTAGTCTAACCGTATCCTGTTGACAATTTTGTTTGTGTGTGTTAACCAACGCCCAACGCGCAAGCGAAATAAGAACTGTAAGCGAAGCAAAGAGCGCGAATGTAAGAGGAGCACTCACGCTTTACGCGTCCTCTCGCGCGCTTAGCTTACAAAATACAAAAACACACCAATAAAACGGCTTAGAATAGGCTAAGCGAAAAGTTCTTCTAGAAACGAGATTTCGTTATGAATTCATTTTTATTTAGTATCGATGTGTGTGAAACAGAGTTTGCCAAGGGAATATGGAGTTGTTATTCGTGTTTCGAAAAAAAGAAACATTTCAAGGTACGCAGAAGAGACGATAAAAGCCAGATTTTCCTCTTAAACAGATATAAACGGAAAGAAAGATAAGACGAACGTCAGATGAGAAATATTGGCCAAACAGCTGATAAACTGTTAAATATCTCTATTTGTCGATGTGTTTTGCTCTCTAAACTGCTTTTCAGCCTTTCCGTAATATAACTTTAAGAATTCGCCTTTGGAACAGAGTTGCAAAGTTTCATTTGTGTTTTTGCTTAAATATGCAACTGTCAAAGGAGTCTCCTTTACAAGATCGCGCATAATTTTGTTTTGTCATAATACAGTGTAATCAATGATCTCCGACTTCGCCTGTCTGGGTTTGTTTTATTTCTCGGTGTCTGTAGACAAGTTGCGTTTCAATAGAGAATTTTCAGGCTTTCTTTACGATTCATTATTATAAGATTTTTCGTTTATGCGATGTTAGTAGCAGAAATTGATATTAATACGCACTGCATTAAGACCCGCCTGTAAATTAACCTGTTTCGGAAAGGAAAAGGAGGAAAACTCAAACGTGTGAAAAAGAAACCGCTATACGCATAACTTTTGTTTTAGTTTCCTCCTCTTTTGAGTTAAATCCCCTAAAACGTAAACAATTTTAAGCGGTTGTCTCAAAGAGAATGTTCCAGGAAACAACGGAAATTTTATTGACACGTCTCGCTTTTCGAGTCAAAGGTAGGTTTGTTTTAACATTACAAAAGCGCGTTTTAGCGGAGCCGCAAAACAAAATGTGTTCAGAGGTGCGACATTGAATTCTTTTTTGTTGAGTTTCTCAGAAAGAGTAATTACCGTACATTTATAATTTATGGAGGTTACGGAGGTTCTTTTCTTTTTCCGCGGTCGCTTTTCAACGACACACAAAGCGTCCAGAAAGCAGCTGCTCGATTGAGTATTTACAAATGACGCTTGAATGAGAAAAATTGTTTTGACGAGCAACTTATTTTCACGTCGCTCAGAATTACACACAGAACCATAATGCGACAGTCTGTTAGGATCTATATTCACCGTAGAAATTTGACTCTTTGAAGATCTTTAGCTTTGCTCGTGGCAACGGAAAAATCGGCCATTTGCGGATGTCAGGCTCTGTCAGTTTGCGTTGGATCGTTAAGCTGAAATGAGAATTTGAAATGTTGAGGCTGCAATTTAACGTGATGAATGTAACCAGTTTGAATTGAAAAGACTGTATTGATGACAGAGAAAGGCTTGTCCTGTGAAAAATATTGAGTTTTTCATACACGATTTTTATTAAAAAAAATTGTTATTTGCAAATTATTTTCAATTTTTTACTTATACATCTAGGACTGTCCTAACAAAGGAACGAGTTTCCTTGCCTGTGAAAATATAGTAATTTGGAGACTTTTCATTCAGTAAGGCAGGTTAAAATTTAACAAATTTTTTTAGTGAGTTAGTTATCCAGTCATATAGGTGACAAATGACGTCAAAATGAAGTAATCACAAAAAAGTCGCCCATTGAACGTGAAGAGTGAGTCACTGAATGACGAAACACGCTTTTTTCTTGTTTTTTTCTTGTTTTTCGTTAACTCTTCCTTTGAACTCTCTTGAAGGCTATCTCTTGCTTAGTCCAAATAACTTTGCAAAAATAGAGGGAAAAATTGCTTTTAAGTCGGCTGTTCGGATTCAGTTTTGAGATCACAAGTAACGACCCACTCTCATAATGTAACCCAGTTCAATGTATGTAACAGTGAAAACCTTTAGATTCTTGCATCAATTCGAGTACTAGACTTCAAGAGTTTTTGTCAAAATACGGAGAGAAATTATACCTCAAGACGCTTGGTTATGCTCTCTCCGACCCAGAAGTTTGCGCAATTATTGTTATCAGACGTTTTTGAAAAATTGGTAAATTGTCGTGTCTTAATTTGGCACTTCGCTGCTTTCGCAAAACGTCGGATGCTCATGCTGACAGCTATTGCGTTTTCCCGCCAAATTATCGGCGGTTGGCGCGCCCCCCGAATTCGTAATCGTATATATCTTAGAATTTTAAGGTCACTTGAAAATTGTTGCCATGGTGCTAAGACCTGTATTTGTATCCCTCCTTAGTTGCTCTTTCTTACTGCACTCAAAGTGATGGAGGGATTGAAGACATGTTACAAGGTGATTTGTGTAGTTTGAATTCTAAGTCGACTTTGGCTGATAGTAAATTGTCTTTTCTTGTCAGCGCGCAGACAAATTGTTAACGCAAAATTTACGGTGCTGTAAACCTTTGTTAGTACAAACTGTAGTCAATCCCTCCTAATCACGCGAATACGTTTCATCCGACCACGTAATGATAGATCCATACATAGTAATCCACAACGGATTCAGGTCCATCTGTCACTCTTGTGTTTCAATTTTTTTTTCCACGATCGAAAATTTGTGATTTATGAGAGAAAGAGTTTGTACCATGTTGAAAAAGAAATCCCTCTACCTCTCCCCATGATAAAAAGACGAAAAACGTATTTGTATGGCTAACTGAGAAGGTAGCACTATTAGCATGTCAATCCTTACGCTTAGAGAGATTGACTGCAGTTTGTTCTCAAAGCATGGAAATTTGTATCACTAGAATTCCAGCTTGCAAGCAGGCTATCATTGCTATCGCTGCAGGACGAACGTTTTCCGCCCGCGGAAAGACTTGTAGACCTCTCGTTGGCTGGCGTTGCCCAAGGCAACTTACTTGCGGGCGAACGAACGCTTATACTTAAGGTTACTTCCCACCTTCAGAGGCCGAAAAAATAAATTTTTCTTTTATTTGATTACACTGAATTCAAATATTCAACCTAACGTTTCCATGAAAAAGTTTTATAAAAGCCCCCGAGGTATTTAGAAAAACGCATTTTCAATTAAAAGTCAATAAATCAGGAAGGAGTCATTACCACGGACCTGGGCGAAACCCCCTGGGGGAATTTTCGCGGCAACCGCTCACGTTGGGGCTCGATTTTCATGCTCTTTCTATATTTTGTTTACATCTCGTACTTTAAAAAATTCGCACGTGAAGCTCTCTGTTTACAAAAAAAATTTTTGCTCATGGAAAAATCAAAAGCGGAAGAAAGTTCTTTGTAAAAAAAAAAAAAGGAAAAAGGAAAAAGAAAAAACAGGCCTAAGGAAGAAAGGATAGGTACCATTCTGTCGAGAAATTAATAAAAAATTCCTTTGTGAAAGCGACTGGAACTGGCGGAAAGAACTCGCTGTCAAACTGAACTTTGCTACAAATAATGTTAAAAACTAGGTTCTCTTTTCTTTATGCAAGTACCAGCCTTGTTACAAAAACACTAACAATCGCCTCAAATCGTAATTTTGAAAGCTATGTCAATTCGCTGTCTTGTTCCTCAGCACATTTACCGGTTTTTCCATTTTTGCCGCGGATTTTTCCTTTGCCTCTGGCAACTTTACTCATCATTGTGTCGTCCTCCTCAACGCTCCACTGAGCGAACGAGATAACAATAAAAAAAGGGTGTCTGCAATGGGTTATTTTTCCCGGGAAATCTTGATCCATCGTCATTGACGCCAGGAGGTCCCGTTGTCTCGTTTTCGTTTTCAGGAGGCGAGATAATCTCCTGGTGTGAGTTTTTTTGCGAACCTCCATGAGCTAAAATCTCGTATTAGATTTTGTGAGGAATACAACCACTTTGAGCGAATTCATAGGGTATGTAGATTTTACCGATTTTCGTTAAATTTCGCCAAAACATTTTAGGAATAATGACAAACGAAAGCGTGTCGGTTGTTTGCTGCTGGTTTCTCATTTGAAGGTGAAGAGTTTTAGACAAAAAACCACCACCATTCCTTAGTTTGGTGTTTCTCAAACCTAAGCGTTCAAGTGCCTTTGAACCTTGTTTGTTTCCTTCATTGATGATGACAATGTGGTTTTTTATATCTTTTATCAGACGCAGACAGCGAAGATTCACCTTCCAGCGGCGGAATTCTAAAATGTCATAAAACCAAACGAGTACGAACCACATTTACCGAGGAACAACTACAAATCCTTCAAGCGAACTTCAACATCGACTCTAATCCGGACGGGCAGGACCTGGAACGAATCGCACAGTTGACTGGGCTTAGTAAGAGAGTAACACAAGTTTGGTTTCAAAACTCGCGCGCGAGACAGAAAAAATACGGTACACCTTTGTTCTCTTCCAGCCCGAGAACACCAAGCGCGGCCAGCTTTTGATTCTGGCGAGGTGAGTTTCGACTAATTTAGAAAAGTCCTCTTTTTGGAATCTTAACGTGAGCGCACAAGCTATGTCGCATTTGCTTTGTTAAGTTTTTCTGACCAATTCCCTTATTTCTGCGAAGAAATCTCATCAATGATACTTCTCAAGGTAATCTTGCTTGAGGAGAAGTTCCCTCTAAAACTTCCTGTGTTCTTGTCAACACTAACAAATTTTGTCCTTCTGAAGTTTTCTTCAAAATACCTCATTGCTAAAAAAGTTGGCAATTCAGATATTGGACTCATGGACTTCTCAAAGTATTTATCAACAGTAGCAAATTAGTCCTTCTGAAGTTTTCTTCAAATACCTCCTCGCTTAAAAAGTAGGTAGTTCAGATGTTGGACACATGGACTTCCCAAAGGAAAACTTGTCATTGGAAAAGATCCGTCTGCCGATTTATAGGGCGTTTTGCTTTCAAGCAAGGTTAACTTCTTTTACAAAGGCATACGTGAAGTAAATTAATCTCTTTAAGCCGGTTAGACTCCGGGATCTTACACTGAGTTCTGGGTAGAACTTGGGAAAAACGAAATAGCTCCGCAAATATTAACCAAGAGAGAGAGAGCGGTTTACTTTTGTGGCTAACTGACTCAGTTGCTTCTAGCTAGACCCACTTTACATGTCCTTCGTCTTTTCCTAGCAGACTTTTAGCTTCTTGGCTTAAAAGCTCTGAATAACGTATTTGTAACTTGACACACGGTGCTTTTTCGTAGATCCTCAAGGTGTTTTATTTTAGGTGTGATAATTCGTTTCTGTGCTGTGGTGTACAGCGAATTGCAAAGATTTCCAGGTTTTTTTTTGTCTTACTTCTGTTATTTTTACTTCTTTTATATTGTAGATTTTAAGGAATTCAAATACTCGTGCCATCAGAAGTAATTGCAGCAGCCAGCTAGATGCGTTTGAAAGGGATCAGTAGAAATCGGACGAAAATGAAAACACGCCATTACCAGAGTTTTCAGCCCTTGTCACTTTTGAGCTGTGTGTGTCTTCACAGTTGGAGAAGTTATTTTGAAATAGAGAGGACTTTAATCCAATGAGTGACCGAGAGAACTGTGGTCGTTTCAGAAATATTGATTTTAAAAATCTCTTATTTTCCGAGGAGAATATTTACTAAAAACTAAGAAGCGTTTGAATTCAGAACCACTTTTAACCCTTTTGAAGGAATACAGTAGGGAATGCTTCGCTGCCTTAATGTTAATGTCTGTAGTAAGTCTTTAACTCCGACGGTAAAAACTGCACTGCTACGTAGGACTTCAGTCAAAACAGTAGACTAGAATCGCTCAGTGAACTCTTTACACTATCAGAGTAAATTTCTCTATTAGAAGAGCGGCTATTATTTATCGCCCAGAAAAAAAGGGGGGGCTGGGTCGGAGGATTTTAATTGTGTCACGATAAACCCGATCCCTCCGTTAGACTCTGTAGTATTCTAATGATTCCCCCTCGTTGATAGTCAATTTTCTCCAGGCCCCTTCTTACTCTATCAGCGACGGTTGATTCCCCCTCCATTTCTCCTGAAAATCATGTGATATACCCAAAATCCCCCGACACCCACCCCCCCCCCCCCTCCTGCTTCCTCCAGCGATAAATAATGGCTGTTCCAAGGCAATATCAACCAGAACAGGACTGGTCCGTGTTCTCTCGCAAGAAACTCCGCCACTAAAATGTTGTAATATATTGGCATAAAGGAAAAACAAATAATATTTAACTTCTTATACAAGAAAAGAATGTGCAGTATATATGAGGTCGTAGCTATGTGTAAATTTTGTCCATAGAATATGAACACTCCTCCCAGAAGAGGTCAAAGCTGTGCACTTGGTGCGTCCGCAAGTTGCTATAAATAAAAAGCTTAAAAAAATCGTTGGTGATCTGCTCCACTTTGAAATTGCCTTCTAGCATTTTTCAGGCGTCCAGTTAGCAAAAGCAGAGCAAATATATTTAAGAACGGCACGAAAGAGGGAGCGGAACAAAAAATAAAGGCATCAAGTTTGGCTCGTTGGTCAAGTCGGGTTATTTGCGCCACCTGACCGTTAACAGCCTAACTGTCTCTCTGCGACGTAGTCCTCCATACAGCCGTAAATTGTTTTATACACAACTTGTTTCTCCAGGGGAGAGAGTATTGCAAAGGCAATAAACGCAAAGGACTGCGGCTAGTTTTGACGGTACCAATCCGGTCAAGGGTAATGTTAAAAAGATATGAGTATAAATTAGCACTGATGATATTCAGCGATTCTTCGGAGTGTTCCTCTCGTAGTTAGAACACAACCCTGATGTTTTGGCCCTCAAAGACTATGACGTCATGTGAAGTAAGGTTGAAGCTCTGTATAATATACATCACCACGCCAAGAATGAATGAAAGCAAGAGTAAAAGTGAAAAAGGAAACCGTTTCTTAATACCAAATGCTTGCGCGAATAGGAAATCCGCTCGTTTCCCATGGTCGAACGGGGTTGTTTTGGACAGCAACCTTTGCTGATCCTAGGCTTTGATGTAAACTGGTGTGATATAATGTCGATGCTTCCACTTGCACGCAGCGTCCAGTTAAGTAAAGAGTCGATTTTTCCCTAAGTAAACCCGTGGCACTCGAGTTTGAATGTGAACTCTATTGCGTAGCAGGCTCCTTAAATGAGAATTCGAATGTAGCATAGCGATGTGTGCACACCAGTGAAAATGAAGGACACTGGACCTCCTTCCTTGCTTTGATTAGTAGAGCGCGTTGCACGCGGATAAAACTCGTCGCGAAGCTCCCGCATGGCCCATCTAAGGATAAACAAGGGCATTTTATGACTAGGCTACCACAGGTATCTCAGTAAGAAGCCTGTCTAAGGAAATACGAAAGGACACCGGACAAGAGATTTAATAAAGATCGATTAAAGAAGGAAGTTAGTGAGAAAAAAAAATTAAGGATGGAAGGAAGGATGCCAAATTCGCGGCTGTTTGTGCTCTTCCCATAATCCAATAGGAGACAATTAATAAACAATTATGGCGGACATGTTGGGGATTTGGTCTGCAATTGATACCCTTTGCTACATTATTAATCGAGCTTACTTGAATGTGGAGCTGATAGGAGGGTATGTACATGTACGTATAAGGAAGGAGTTTACGTTATGTAGGATTAAAGAGGCCCCACTAGGGGTTATCGGGATACGGAATATTTGGGTAAAAAATTATAAGGATACGGGATATTTGGGCGGAAAATTAAGGGGATACGGGAAATTATAAAAAGATTCTGGGATATCGAATATTTAAGTTCTCATTTTTTAAAAGAATAAAATAGGTTTATTTGTCGATATAGAAGGCACAAATAGTGAAAAAATTATTTCAAATGCGATTTTTTACATTTTGCCATCAAATATTGTTAATATTGACATTAGGTGCGAATATCAGTTCTCGTCCGAGAACAATTCTCCCCCTCTCCTATGGCTTTTTCCATTTTGCACCACTTTCTCGGTGACTCATTGCTTTGAAGTCACCTCAGTATTTTAACAATTCTTCACAGAATGTTACATTAGAGCATACCATTGAGAAGCATGATGTCTTTTTTGCACGTAATTTCTATTTGAAATACGAAATGCCTCAGCAAAATGTGTTTTTTGTTATCAGGTACCCAAACATATTACGCTCAATGATGTCATCATGGTAACTGGCATAATAGAGATACAAACCATAGGAATTAACGGGATACGGGATATTTTGGCCAAAAATTTTAATGGGATACAGGATACTCAGATCCCCCTAATGGAGCCTTATTAAAAGAAAAAGGATTCAATCCTCGTAGAGCTCATTTCAACATTTCTTTCAGCTGAAACCAGAGCTGACTTGTGCCAGCTCCATGATGAAGAGGACATGATTTAGATTTAGGCAACCTTGGCTTGTGTGAGAATCATTTAATTTGAAGCACTCTTTACTGATTGATCCAATACAAATCTTAGACCTGTGGAAGAAATTAGAATAGGCTTCTGTAAAATTATACATAAGGAGGTTAGATAACAAAGATTTGGAGCTACTATAGAATAGTGGAGTTCCACCTTGTCAGGGGTCTTCAAAGAACCAAGAACAATGCATTAACTGATTCTGTGGTAATTGATTAAGATCTAAATTGTTAAGTGTTCCTGGATCCTTTAGTTTTGCTTAAATTGTTTTTCAAGTGAAGACTTTCTTCCTGCCATTTTTCATAATGTGATTAATTTTTTGCTTTAACCCTTTAAACCCTTAGAGTGACTAGCAATCAAGAAAATGATCACTAATGTTTAAAAAATTATCTTTGTCAGCACCTAAATTAATGTACAGAAACAGTATGGAATATATGCCTTTTGATGATAGGGTTTTAATGGGTTAAACAGAGATCAAGTAAGTTAAGCAGGAAGGAAAGGAACATCTGGAAGTGAGTTTAACCTGTGTACTGTGGATTCTCATTGAACACTACCACTTCATTTGGTCAACAATAAATCTATTTGATTCAGAAATAATTATATGACAGAGGATGCTTGGTGTCTTAATGAACACAGCAGATCACCTTGCACAAAGACAATCAAGGAATACTCAAGGCTGAATGTGGCATACCTTCTGAAATGCATTTTTATTCAGAGGAATTTGATTTTGGTATATGGAAGGTTCTGGAATAAAAAAGTGTCAAAATGGTACCTGTAACTAATTGAAAAAAAATAGTTGGAACATTTTACTCAAAAACCCTTTCACTCTTGAAATCTCATCAGTAATTCTGATTTCTGTCTGCCATATAATTCTTGTGATTCTAGTTTGGAGAAATTTGTACAGGATCAACTAGTAATCCCTTCATTGATATTTTTCTTTTATTTTCATCACTTGTGCACTTGATATTGTATTACTGTTCTGAGTAGTGGTCTTGTGTTTCAGGCTCAGTTGTTCCATTTCATTCAGACAAAGGAACCTGCTGGCCATGTGATTGCTGTGGAAAAGACTTTTATAGCTCAAGTCATCTCAAGCAACACTGGATTCTTTACACCGATTTCAAGCCATGTAAATGTGAAGTTTGCAGCAAGTGCTTTTCCTTTCATTGGTATTTAAAGAGGCACATGACTTAAGCACAGTGGTGAGAAACAGTTTAAATGCCCACAGTGCCCCAAGTCATTTAACTCTCAAAAAGAAGTCCAAAATCACAACTGGCTTCCTACAGGTGTGTTAAAATTTACTAGTCACCCATCACTGTCTTGAAAAACTATCATTCATACTACTTTTTTTCACACAGGCTCATTCTGATCAGGGGATAATTATTCAATAAAGAGAGGTTTTATCAGCTGACTTGATAATTTAAATTGGTGATTGTAAAGAGTATCTAAAGCTGTCAATTCAATCATTAGCCCTTTGCCAGTCCTATTAGCCCTCTGCCATTGACTCTGACCAAGGGTTAACACTCAAAATGTCAGCTTTGGAAAATCTTCATAGGGGCCAATTTACAATTTGATTGCTAAAACCAAATTATCTTGAAATACCCCCCCCCCCCCCACCAATGCCGCAACACAGTTTCTTTAGATACTTACCCCCTTCATTCATTTGTTGGTAATCATTGATTAGTCTCCTTTGTTGGAGTGGCAGTCATTGGAATGTTAATGTACACATACAAACTCCAAATGATAGCCTCCTGAGTTGATGAACAATCGAGCAATTTTCAGTAGAGAGTTGAAAGTAATCTGGGGTTGCTTTGGTTTGGCTTTGCTTTGCTTTGTGATTGATCCTGAAAACTTGTATCCCTTTCCTAGCCTACTGGATTAAAAAATTCACTGAACTCTGAGTTTTCAGCGATATTTTCCTTTGTTCCGATAAGCTGTTGTGATTGGTTTTGTTTTAACAACACTTGATTGAAATGCACTCTATCAGACAAGACAAATGAAAAGTAGTCCTCAGAATCTAAAATACACTCTCAGAAACTTACCTACATAATTACATACTTGTAGTTAAACTTGTAATAACATCACAGTTCATTTTTACACAAATGTGCATGTTGGCAAATTATGAAGACATTAAAGCTTAGCACCTGCAGGTTATAGTTGTGGTCTGGTTAGGCTAGCATAAGGTGTCTTTCAAAATTGTATAAGAGTGTCTTGATTTTAACCCTTTACTCCCAAACATCAGTATGGATATTATTCATACTGTTCTCCATAAATTTCCTAAGGTGCTGACAGGTGTTTCTTGCACACTGGCAGGTGAGAAACCTTATCAATGTAATTACTGTCCAAAGTCATTCTATTTGCTGGATAACTATCAGTACCATGTGCGTCAACACACTGGAAAGAAGCCATATCACTGTGATGTCTGTGAAAAGGCTTTTAGCTATTCCCACAACCTAAACGAGCTTAAGAACAAACTCACGGGACATAGAACCTACCGGTAAGTAATTCTTACTGTTCGCGTAAAGGCCGCGACTCCTATTTCGGTCTTGGATCGAATCAGAGAATTCGAAATTGAGGATTGTTATAGCTTGAATTTTCTTTTCTAAACGTTGAGATTTGCGAAGGAGAAATTATTGGCGGTGTTACAGCTTGCAGAACATAGTGTGGAAGCTTCCTTACTCGTCCCCAGTCATCTTCACAACGCGCCTGGCATGGTGGTGCGCTGGGAGAGAAAGGGGTGATGGGAGGAGGTAAGAAGAGAAGGATTCTCCCCCCCCCCTCGCTTTCTCCTTATCATTACACTTCACCATTCTCGTGTCACGTGTGTGTGTGTGTGTGACACTTGCGTCCTGAAAAAAATTCGAAATGAGTTGAATTGTTCCATGTTCCTTCACCCACCTTTCTACTTCCTCCGCTCCTTACTCCTCGACTTTTATTCGCGGAAAATGTTGTTTGTCTAGAGAGAATGATTTTTGGACACCTCGTAGGACTCATTGCCCCCACTCCCTCGAGGAAGCAAATTCCCGTTCACTAAGCAAGGGCTGGTAATTTAGCAGACGGTTGTGACTAGTTGCCCTTTTAGTCTGGCTCATTGTGTTATGCTCCCATCTTCAAACCCTCAGAACTTGCATCAATGTTTCAGCAAAGAACTGAAGTGGCACGTTGTTAACTCGTCTGAGCTGGAATGTAATTGGAAGCTCGAGAGTACCGGAGCTGCCGCAGGTTAATTTGGCAACTTATGGACAACTAAGCTATGGAGCTCTTTACCAGCCGACGAGGAACATTGAAGCTAACATAAAAGCTTACAAAGTTTCAGACAAACATCGAAATTCATAATTTTTTAGAATTATCTTAACTAAAAATAGTTTTAAGATTTTATTCTTTCTTTTTGTGTATATGCATTTTTATTTTTTTACTTGCAGTGGCGTACCTGGAAATCAATCGTAAAACTAAGTGTGTTGACCAGTTTGAGTTAAGGCTTATTTTCTTATGTCTTAAAGACAAGTTAGAAAGGAAATTGGTGAGTGAAGCATCTCCACAATATTGATGTTGTTTTTATTGGCCGGGTTTGCTCCGAGTCCGTCTGTCTTTTCTCTTTGTACTCACTCGGAGAGCCTTATTTTGTTGCGATTTTAAGTGGAGAGAATGATTTCTTTGTATTTAAAATCTCAGACTTAAACAGAAAAGATGGGAACTTCTCTTCTCCGGGGAATTTGTTTTCAGTGCAGATGCTGTTTTTTATTAATTTATCGCCAGCAAACTTTAATTCGTCGGTGCTAACCACTTGAAAACAGCTAACCACTGAAAACAGCAATAACTAAAGAGGTTTTCCGGATTGGAAAACTAGTAGTTTCATTTTTTCACTATGTTCTTTGCAGCTTCGCAGACAACTGTCTCTAACAGCACAACTTACGGGAAGTTTGTTTCTATAGTACCAAAGGCAGCGGACAACAAGTTAACGGGATTTCACGTCTGTTTTGTTTCGCAGGAAACTCCATCACACTCGCAACCCACTAACGGCCGGATGGAGATCGACTCCTACGATCAGAAAAACACACCAGCAATACTCGAGGGAGAGTGGGTCTGAGGCTCTCTCCGCCCTAGAAAGGCTATCTGCCTCGATTGGAATGGAGAAGGACCTTTTGGACCAGTCCCTCTCGGCTTGATCAGGACTGAAATTTGTAATCTTAACTTGCAATAAAATTAACTCCCAATAACTTCTCAGCTACTATTTTGTTGATTGAACTGATTTCAGCCTGTTAAATCCGAGTATTAGTTTCTGAGTTTAATTTCAAGTTATCTAAAATAAACATGAAATTTAACCACGGAAATGAGTTTGTTTACCGGCTTTATTCTTCTGAGACCTAGTTTTATTTTTAGTTTAGGTTTCTGCCTTCTAATCTCATCAAAGACTCTCCTTACTATTTGCCCCACAATTCGTGTGATTTTAGTCCCGAGTATTTGGTATTGGATCAACAAATAATCTTCTAATATATATTTCTCTCTAGTGTATACTAAAACAGGGGATAGCATTGAATGCGCGCCCTGATTGGCTACTCAAAATCCGAATATCTTTTGCTATTCACTTCCGAACAACTCGCCCAAACATTGTAATCATTACAGGAATTGATAAGTTCAAATCATCTTTTTTTACCATGTTATCTCACTGTTTTAATACATACGAAAACAAGTATTCACCTCAGACTCGGTGGCTCACCGCTTTGCAGCTCGGTAAATAACCGCCCTAACTACCTCCACTTCGGAGAATAGTTCTTATCCTCATTACTTGTCTGATAGTGAATTGATATCATAGCCACCATTGGTTTGCTTGTGAGCGAAGAGATAAGGCAGCAGAAAAGCTGAAAGATGGCGATGTCACAGATCAAAAATTCCGTTTCTTGCTCATTCGTGAAATAGACGACATCACGTCGAAGTTAGATGCGCTTGCAAGTCAGCATCTTTTAACAACCATCTGTTACTTCAAACAAGGATAAGAGAGTCTTTTTACGCTGCTGGACGAGGGAAGAGTACTCCATCTAAACGCAAACGCTCTCTCAAGTCCAGGGACATGTTGAGCTGTGCATATGCGATGAGAAACTACTATATATACAGCTCCCGCCACTGTCGGCAATTTGAAAAAGATGCATCTGTCTGCCTTGAGTAATCCACATTAAAGGGCGCTTATCGACGCTGAGGAAGCGTTCAAGGCAGCTTGTCTGGAAGCAACAAAAGCCTTCAACAATTGAACTTTGAGCACAAAAATTTATCTGTTAAATCGGCTCTCCTAATCCCTATGGTATCAACGAGCGCTTTTTATTCAACTAATTTATTCGTTTTCTCGTCACCATATTCCCACCGATAGTGTAGCTCCATTTTCTGCCTATAAACACACACACACAATCCATAATTCCTTCAATCGCTCTGACAAAGGGCTAACGCCAGAAATGTCAGCTTTTAAACACTTTACGGTGACCAATTTACTTTATCGACTCAGTTGATAATACTAAATTACCCTGTTATGCTTTCCCATCGACGCAGCACCACTTACCCCCTCAAACTTTGAGTACCACAGATCGTATAAAAACCATGGCTATTCGTGTTGCAGTGAAAATACTGGAGAAGGCAGATTATCCTTAGGACGCAATACCCGCATGCATGTTTCATGGCGAAATGGCGAATGAAAGAAAATTATTCAGTCTTGGGCCAAGGGGGAGGCAAAATCAGTAGAAGTAAGCTGCAATTAGATCTGTTTCTAGGAAGCTTTCACCAACTGGTGCGATTCTCTTAACCAATAAGATGCAATTGTAAAACAATTGTAACCTGGCCATTTGCGTCTTCCCGCGCTTCAGGCAGCTTGTTTGTTTTCGCTCTGAGTTCTCATTGTCTAATGATAACGTAAACCTTGCTCTGATTGGTCGCTTGTATTACTTTAGTTTTGTTTTTTACGACACTCCATCGAAGAGCGCTCTAACCAAATGTGTGATTGATAATTCATAATTTAGCCTCTATTTTTCGTTATGACGCATGCGCTGTTGTTGAATATAGTAACAGTAAATTTCTTTCAGACACAAATCGATGGTTTGGACAATTAAACCGACTAGATCTTTTTAACTCACTAACATACAGCAAAATAATATTGTATTATATGAATTTGCCGAAAAATGGGGTTGCATGGGTTGTACGAGGAATTGTAGAAAAGAATACTTGTCCTAATTACATTCTTTCTGTCAATATTGCTTTAGTGGAGGACATTCTGGAAAAATGCCAATTGGAAATTAATGTAGGAAGGATAAAAAAAAATTGATTTTTAATCAATCCAAGGTGTGACTCGACTTTTATAAAATATTGAAATTTTTATAGTGTTTTCATTTCCATTACGCCTTGCATCTACTGAATTATTTCAGCAACTCGAGACGATTGCAATTTGAAAAGACGAAGCGAATTAAAATTAAATGGTCTGAAAGTTCAAAAAGTATTTATCAAAATTGAAGATTTAGATTTTGGCAAGAAAACCAACTATCGATCGTATTCATGGTGACTTGCAACAATAAATTCACTCTTTTTAAATGCTTTTAAATAATATGTTACTATGCTAAGACAGGCTCTTCACAAATCAAGCTGCAAATTTTCAGTTTTGTTTACTTGAGGTTAACAGGATATCCCTCGGTTGATGGACAATTTCATTTTCTCTTGAATAACATGTCAGAGTGATAAATTTTTAATCCAGTTGGAATAAGCGCCATAGATGCGTTTACAAAAGTTCACACTAGGGCTGAAAATTTCCAGAGGACTTTCACAAACTCCCCACATCTTTATCGAACCATCTTTAAAGGTAAAAAAATTACAAGTCAACGATACAGGTGAAAAAAGAAGAAAAAGAAAAGAAAAGAAAGAAAAAGCATGGTGGGTTATTTATTCAGAATGGACAGATGATCAATATGTTTGCTTCACCTGTTTTGTTGGGTCACTTTTGCGATCTTCTTCTAGAACTTCCCGTGCGAACATTAACATATTCAATTATTCCGCCTCAGCAATCATACGAGGCTATTTCAACAAAAGCTTTATTATCTTCGCACAGATCGCTATAGCTAGTATTAGTTTGTGGACCTGCACTCTTCAAAGCCATCCGTTTTGAAATTATCAGACGGCTCATTGATAAAGAAAGTTTTCCTTCTCAAAACCTTTGTTTCAAGATTCATAGGTACCTGGATTAATTTTGGATAAGCATTCTCTGTCATTACCAAGTTCTAAACCAGAGAAAATGTCCTCCACATATGCGAACGATTCAGATCGCCATTCTGTAAACGTTTGGCCAGAGCCTTTTCCAGAATGGACCCACGCTATTGAAGAATGGAACTGGATGTGGTTTGCCCACATTTATGGTTTTGCCAGCCTTTTTACTCTCTACACGTTATACGCTGTCTTTTCTCTTTCTCGGTTTCGAAAAATGGCTAATGCGAAACGGAAGGTCCATTTGTTGGTCGTGAGCTGTGCACTGATCACCGCGGGAATCGGGCGGGCTCTTGTTCTTTTCTGGGATCCTTACACCTCGAAGAAATCTTCGTCAGCGATTCAAAATGTTGTTGTTTTTATTTCTTGGGGAATTGCAACAGCTTGTATCACCTCAGCGTTTAGTATAATGCTCTTAATCTTCTTGGAGACGACCAAAATATCTTTGGGACCACCGAAACTTCGAAACCTGCCCCTCTTGGTTTCAATCACGCTCACGAACATCGTTTACGTGACGGTCTCTGATGTTGTGGTTTGGTTTTATCCAGAAGCTAAAGTCATGATTTTTATCTGCCATATTACTTTCGTCATTTGGGGTCTCGCTCTTTCTTTTGGTTATTTCATTGCGGGTTTTCGGATGTGGCAAAATTTGAAGTCCACATTGAAAGCTAGCAACTTCACCGATCCATGCCTTCTTCGGGATGCCGGAAAACTGAAGCGTTTGTTTTTCTTCATGAGTGCAGCTTCTGTTTTTGGTTTGGGTAACTTCTCCATTTCCTTGTACGTAAGCGTTGGAGAGTTTGGTGTTTTTGCTGGCGACAGGTTCGCAAAAAGTTGGCCGTGGTTTTCCACACAAACAATTTTGAGAACAATGGAAATTATTCTTTGTGGTTTGATCTTTGTAATCGCCGCCGACAATCGAAAAAACTACCATCAGGCATCTCCCAGTAAATCCAACTTCACAAGGAACTCAATTGAGCCAGCAACTGAATTAAATAGTGTCGCTTAGCGCAAAGTTAAAAGAACCTCTTACAGGAGTCAACCACTCAAACTGCACAAAGATTAATTATAAACCTTCCATGAAAAGGTGTTCTTTTGAAGTTTACAAAAGTTGATTTTTGATTATTAGATGCTGGGTAAACGCGGATAAATATTGTCAAAGAGCAGGTGTATAACGACCTATATTTTTTTTTTCGCAGGTTTAATTCGGGTTATATTTTTCCTTTTCATAATTGTGAACGGAAATACTTTTTGGAAGATTTCCATGTAGGAATAGCAAGTTCTACTATTTTTGTTAAATCCAATCCAGTCCGGAAATAAGATGTCTATTGTTAGATCTGTCAGGTGGAAAAATAGATTCTAGTGGGCTCCAGCTGATAAGTTGTTTCAGGAAAATCCTGGGGAATTGAGGAAATCCAAATGCGTGTGAAACTATGGTTAAGTTTTTATTGTTATAATTTAAAAGCATTGCAACATCTATAGGGGCCTTTGAGTGATGGCATGAATTCTAGTAAGATTTGAAATCTTAGCCCGCTCATTGTCCATCAACAAACTGATGATTAAAAAACAGAAATCTGAACAACTCCTCTGATTCGCCAAGAGATAATTTCATGGAGCCCCGCTGGGTGAAGGAAATAGTGTATAACGCAAATTGAAAGTTCTGATCAGGAGAGGTCTTTTCGAGAAAGCAGACCGTATTGTTTCAAGTCTCTTAAGTCATTCATTAAAACCTCCTATTGTGTCTGTCTGTTATCTCTCTTTATTATACAGCTGGCAGCGCCTTTGGGCAATACGAAGCGAATCCTTTGTTTTGAATGGCTCCCCGAGGGGGCAAGATGGGCCCATTGCGGGATTGGCCGCATTGATCCCGCGTAAGAAAAAAAGTGTCGCGTAGCGGACTCACAAAGTTCGCAAATTTTGGAAAATATCGGCGATCAAGTTGCAAAAAGCGGTAGAAGAGAGTAAAACCAAGAAAAACAACAACAACAACAACAAAAACATAACGACTCTCTCGTAGTTACACCATGGCGAGCTCGTGGATCTACTCTACGCATGAAAATTATAATATACAGTGACTGTACTAAAAGTTTTAATGATCCTGCGAGTCCAAGAAACAGAATTGAGGCGTCATCACCACAAAAGGCCTTTGCAAGCGGTCCGCTATCTTTAATAACATGCAAGTTGTCCCCAGATCTCTAAGGCCGTTCTGACGCCACTAAATCCCCTCTGTGCTCTTTTCTGTGCTTCGCATAGCCATGAGTGGAAGAGGTTTGAGTTGAACATGATGTGAACCCACTTGAGGGGTTCAGTCCCTTAAGTTCGAGTTCTTTTTTCTTTGTACTTACACGACGCTTTCGACATTGCTGGACGAGTGTCACATGGGAACCTACTGACAGCCACGCTGACTGTTAAGTCTGTAGCTTAGTGGGCGGACTTCGGATCCTCGTGAAAATTCAGATTTTTATCTATTTTATTCCACGCAAGACGAAAAATGCCTTTCTCCCTCTCAGTAGCGGATTCAAAAAGAAAAACATGCTATCTTTTCTTATACTATTTTGTCTCTTTGTTCGTTCATAAACGAAATGGATCATCGTGGAAATAAGGCCTGTAACGAGGTATCAACCACATCCTTTACATCAGATTCACACGAGAAGGCATTAAGATTCAGATGCTTGAAGAAAAAGGAAGAGTCTTTTTTTTCTGTAATCCCAACGTTATCATGTTCAAAGACCAAATTCGTAAATGATTCGTTTGAAATTACTTATGTATAGCCGGATTAATGCCACTTTTGAAAATAGTTTTGAAATAGTTTTATACAGTATTAAGCAGTTTCGTCTTTTTTGACTCACATTAACCTCAGCTTAAAGAGGCTAATAAATTCCATATGTCCTGACTGTTTTCGTTAGAAGTATTATTTTCCGTGGCGCTTCCTTCCATCCAGATTGTGTACTTGTTAATCTTTTTATTTGGAACACAGTGAGCAGTGTGTTCTTTAGCTCCAAGGGTGACCTTAACAAGTTATAAACCACCGGCTATAGGGCTTTTACTCGCTCTCTATATTTGAGTTTCTCGCGGTACAAGGGATGGTATTACGAAAAACTTATCTCAAAAGTCAGAGATTGTTTTAGTCTCGTCACGCAATGCCAGTCGTTGCTTTTGTGTCACGAAAGACGAATATGTAAATTACTGTTTCTGTTTACAATTAGCATGCTTCGGTAACCGCTGGTTCATTAGAAACTTTTCTTCTACCAAAATTAAGGTACTGTTTTTCTTGAAATTCTTGACGAGGACAAAAATTTTTGTGCGCAAATCGCGCGGTTCAATATCGAACTTGTTGGGTATTTCGTAATCTATTTTTATTTGGCGGTCACATCGGCAAACATGAGATCTTTCGCCAGCTTATTAACCCCGTCGATTTATATGGGTACTTTATGGGGGCTGTAGAGAGCATTGCCGAAGAAAACAGCGTCATACGATTTGTCGACTCTGTGGAAATCAGCCACGAAGAAGATACTTCAATCCTCACACAGGAACATGGTTTGAACGAACATGTCTCGGAGAATAAAGGTGAGTTCGAATCGCTGATCGATCTTTGTAGTGTTGGATCGCTTTCACGTGCTGTATATCGTGTTATTCAGCTGATTCCTCAGTGATCAGTTGTTTCATTCGTTTATGGCGTTGAAGTTAGATGAGAAAACATTTTTTATCCACAGTCTTGGTCAAGATGAGTATCTATTTTGGTAATACATTACATCAATTCAATTTAGAATATTTACGAAGTATTTCGTAATAATTTATAACATTGTTGCGGAACGTACACGGTTTTCTTGTTGTACGGGTAACAAAAAGATTTGAAACGGGATTATGTTACAGACTACAAAATAAGTGACAGAAAATTAATTTATCTTATCCCTATGTATTTCGGGTTTCGTTTTGTGCACAGATTGGGTATCACATGTTCCCAAAGTTGACGATTCTCATGGGATCGCCACAGTTGCTCCTGCGGACTCCATGTTGTACGAAGGAACCTACGAAGACTATGAAATTCTTGGCGACACCGCTGTACAAAGTTAGAAATATTAAGTTAACGTTAAATGTGCTATTTATTACGAGTAGTTCCTCTGTTTGAGCGAGTACAAAAAAACTTACTGAAACAAAAACTGTTCACCAGCTGCACTAAACTTTGGGAGTGCGGTGCACAAAAAGTAGAGAGCTGACATCACTTTTTTGGTTACTGATTTTTTTTCTGACATGCTTGAAAGACTTCACCGAAAAGGAGGGACTGTATTGTATACTGTGTTACTGCTTAAACAAGTCACAGTGTAGAATCTCGGAACAAAACTACCGGTACGTTATATGGATGTGACATAACGTTCTCGACTTCGGTTAGAGCGTATTTCCTTATCTCTAAATCACGACTTATATGCTCTTTTCTATAACGGTTGTTTGGCTTGCCATTGTGAATGGTCCTCCCCTTTTCCTGAACTTGTTGAACACGATTTGTCGAAAAAACTTTTTTTCCTTTATGGGTTCCTTTAAATGTTCATTGCTAACCTTTTCTCCTGAGATCTCAAACACGACCTTAAACTGTCGCGATTTTTCCTTAGGCTGGTATCATATATGGCCTAAAAGAGTATTGTTATTTTTGCTTTATGCTTAATTTTATAGCAAAGTGATCAGACTTCAGAATGACTTTTTTTTAGACAGAAATGGAAAAGGGAAAGTGACGACTCTGTTCTTAACTTTCTCTTATTAAACTTGTGCCGGGTGTTTTTTTTTCTTTTTAAGATTCCCGCAATGGAAAATTCGGTAGTGTTTGACAAAGAATACTTTTACACTTGATTATTACTTCGCAGCAAGCGATCAAGAAGAATTCGGATTAGTGGGAACCACCAAGTCAGATCTTAGCATCGACGAAGACCATTCACCTGGACTGAAATACATCAGACCTCCAAGAAGGACGTCGTTTAAGAAGAAACCAAATGAAGCGAAGAGTAAGTCTGGAGATACTGTGCGTAGATCTTCCTTGGGTGGGCCTTGGGCGCAGGACCGTGACTTCTCTTTTTCAAGAAAATGTTTCTGCTTTTTGTTTAATATCATCATCGTTATTCTATTCTCCTAAGGGGGGGGGTACGACTTTTTTAGGCTATGTTTATGTGTTATTTATTCTCTCACAACAACATTTCAGCTAAAATGAATGACAACCTAGGCAACCTAAGACTATCAACGTTCCTGTCACTAACGAAATCTTGTTCAGCGGTATGACGCAAGACTAGAACCCAGCCTCCAATGAGGAAGTAAACGAAGCTTTCGGTTTCCTAATCGCTATCACTAAACGAAAACTATCTACCTAGGAGGTTTACTATAAGTTTCTTACCCGTCTCAGAATGTTTTCTTCCCCTCTTGATGATGACGAAGGAGATTTCATGTCCCCGACCCGTGGAGGGTGAGCAATTGATTTACTTTTGTAATCTGTCTTTTGCCATTTCACATGTTATCGTAGAAGTTCAAGATGGCGGAAAATTGAGGTCGCGTGACAGTGTTCTTATCTCGCATAGCTCTTCCAAGCTTGCATCGTTATTTGGTCAGGATAGAGCATCGTTTTTAGGAGGGAATGAATCCTTGACGTACACTGCTCCTAAGCAGCCAAAGAAAGAGAAACCAGGTGAACGGCTAATTAATTACATTTTTATGTGCGGTGTGCGGTTACAATCGAATCAACTTTGTCGTGATCTCGGTGTACGAAGTGCGTGGTCATTTTTTCGCGCTGAATCAAGCAATTCAAGTAGATCTTTTGAGAATACCTCAAAAGAAAGAAACACATGAGAATTTGTAATTTTGCACAAGTGACACAACCGATCAGCAACCCTTTTTTCTTTCGTACCCCTCCCCCTTGCTCCAAGCCTCCAGCTATCCTCTTTTCGGTCACTTCGTTCACCGGGATGTCTGTTATGACAACTAAGGTAAAGCAACTCTTTTTATAAGTGCATTGCCAATACTTCTCTCCATTAACCAGAGGCTGAGAGCGAATGTAGTGCCCTGCTAAGTGGTTTTTTTTGTGTGCACATTTTCACTGTATCAACTAATTCTGTTGTCAGTGTTAATACCATATTATTATATTTATATTACGTTTTTTTGTGAAGGGGAGCTTACAGAGCGTAAATCAATTTTATTAATTGAATTCAACAGTTAAGGATTTGAAATTTGAACAATAATTTTAGTGTAGAATATCCTAAAAGTATGTGTAAAATCAAAGTAAAAAAGAGAGTGCAATTTCAGAGAACTGTCTTTTTAAGGGTTTGAATCTCTTTACCAAATAAATTCCATGTTGTCATGTGTCCCTTGTAGGTCACAGATGACATCAAAATATGGTAAGAACAAAAAGGTGGCACAGGAGGGGCAGCCAAGTGTAATACTGATGTTCTTGTCACATTTTGACGTTTTCTGTGATCTATAACTGTGAACAGCTTGAGGAATCTGGCATAATTTTGTGATGCACTTGTTGTTGATACTATTGTTTATCTCTAGCTGGAGCAGCGCCAGCTGGTGGTGGAGAAACAACACTCTTGTTTGCAACTGCAGTCCATGCCTACAAATAGTAAGTGGCTCTTCAGTGTATTGTGTATGTAAATCCCTGTTTCTCTTCAGCACTTTTTGTTAAAAAATTTTGCAGACTTGCAAAAGAGTTTTAAACATCTGTTACATCACATTTTAGTGTCAATGGCCAATATGCTAGTCAGGGAAAACTGGGCGCTGCAGTGTTGGGCAATCATCCTGCAAATGATGTAAGTTATCCATGCTAAGCTTAACAGTCAAGAGCTTGGTTGGTGATCATTTCCTCTTTTCTTGTTACCTTAGTGTTTATTTAGGGGTGATATTGTAAGGAGAAACTAGATGCAAGTCACTCTCTGTGGTCACAGGGTTAAAAAAGGCTTCACTGAATACAGACCCATTTTACAGTTAATGTAGGACTTGGCCTTGTTACTGCACTTATAACACTTGTTCATGAAAGTTCATAAAATACGGGTTTAGCTGTACATATTTTACTCTCTCAATGATGTATAAGGGAAAATGGAAATTCCAATACTTATATATCGTGCTATTATTTCTTTACAAATGTAGTACCGGATTCTCGTTTATGCTTCAAAACAACAGCAAGTGACCACAGCAAAAATTCATGGGAATTTTTCATTCACGGTAAATATATGAGTGGATTACATTGTATGATATGTTAGTTAAATTGTAAATTTTCAAGTATTCAGCATTTGTATTTTTATGTCCCCAGACGGTAGTTTTAACAGTTATATTTTTTTTTTAGGTTCAAGGAAGTAATTATGCAAGTTTTTATGATGACCAGAGGCAGACATGGTCACTTAATTTTGAATCGGATAAGAATATCACAGATTTTGCTAAACAGGTAATTAGTTAGCTGAGATTGTACGAGAGTGTCCATTGGTTTTGTTTTACTTTGCTCTGTGATTGGTCCAGAAACAAGCTCCATGCTCTCAACCATCAGATACAAAACTAGAATCAGTCACAACTTTGTTGCATGTGTTTTCTGTACTTTAAGCAGTTTGGTTGTTTTTACTTGGAGTCTTCATTGGCTCTCAACCCTTTAAGTCCCACTAGTGACCAAGACAGAATTTCTTCTTACACCATATCTACAATATCAAGCAGACAAGTAATGAGAATAAAGAAAAATATTAATTGGGGGATTATTGGTTGATCTAATTCCAAATTCTCCAAAACACTGTCATATAAACTGTAAGGCAGACAGTAAGGAGAATTACTAATGACATCTTGAGAATTAAAGGGTTAAAGGTATTTTCCTTTTTTCCAATTGGCCTTAACATGATCTGCACTTAGGTTTTGGTTTTATAGAACTCAATCAAAAAGTGCTTTTATATATGACAATTAACTGTGTGTGAGTTTTCCTTCATGTTCATTTGAACTACGGCCATGGATTAATCTTTCAAGAAATAAGAAAAATCAAGATCTTAAGGTTGCAAACAAGTAAAATTAGCATTTTGATGGAATAAATTTGGTGTTAGAATTGCAGAAGACAGGGTAAAATCAGGGTTTAAAGAAAATTAAGTTTTCAAAGATTAGTGCTGGAGGTTGGATTTGAAAGGTGCATAACAGTAGATTTTAATCCTGGTAGAATGCCCAAAGAATGCTTTGGCAATTAACTACTGTAAGACTTATTGGATTTTGACAGACATGAAACTGTTACTTAGTGGTTTGAATTTATGCTGTGAAAATATAGTTTTGTCTGTATCATAACATGACAAGTGTGGGTTACTGGTAAAGCAAATAAAGAGAAAATTAGTTTTAAAGTGGAGCAGCTAAGAAGCCACAATGACCTTTTGAAATTAATTGAGAAGGAATACAGTTGTCCTGTTGGAATTGATTTACAGGTTGGGTTATCAAAATTCAATTCTGCTTCATCAAATCTTTGCACACAAGATCTCTCCCCTGGTGATGGACAGGTAAGGGTCATCATGTTTTTTTAGGCAGCTAAATGACTGCTCCAGTGGTCAAATAAGTTTTTGTTTTCTAGATGTTCTTTTGAGAAATATTTTACCGTTTAGTTTTCCTGATCAAGTACTCAAGCACAAGCCATGAATCCACCCTGAAAAAGGAGGTTATGCAGAGTAAAAGGGATCTTATATCAATCAGTTTTACTCAACTATTAAAATGTATTTAATCGCAAAAAAACCCATTATTGTGCTTAAAACCATGAATGGCTCCCTAAAACTATGTGTATTCTAAGGTTTAAATTATGTAACAAATTTTTAGGAAGATTTTCAAACCTGTTTTTGACAATTGGAGGCAGTTCAAAGGTCATAATAAGATTTCAACTGATAGTGTGTGAGACAGCAACTTCTGTTTGTGATGTACTACTGGTGACAAACAATTTGCAGCCAATAAATATTTTCCCTGATCATTCAAAACAAGGCAACTTCCCAAATTGTCCTATTTTGACCCCTGTGACCTTTTGAAAGTGGTGTATTAAATGAAGATACTAACCTATAACTGCAATTTCGAAAGAAATACTCACTTTTGTTTTTGTATCATGCCTTCAGGCTATTGAACTAGGGGATGCTTTAGAAGTCAAGTACACTGGATGGTTATGGACTAATAACAGTTTTGGAAAAGTAAATTTTTACTTCAATCAATCTTATGTAATTTCTACTGACTGTAAAATGCATGTCACTGGAACTAATTTTTTAATTTTTAGGTTTTTGACAGCAACACTGAGACAGATAAAACATTCAAATTCAAAACAGGGAAAGGAAAAGTTATCAAGGTACACAGACAACACACAGTACAGTAATTTCATATATTAATTCTCCCTGAACTGTTAGAGTCCCTTATTCTGTTCATTCAGTTTGTCTGTTTGGATGCTTCTCATCCATCTGTCTATCCATGTTCTAGTTCTCATCTGTATGATTTTTCTGTTTTCTTTCTTTCTTTCTTTCTTTTTTTTTTTTTAATCATTCCTTCATACACCCCAACATCAGTATGTTTATCCTCCATACTGTTCCCCATGTGTTTTCCAAGGTACTAACGATTGTTAAACAATCAAGAGTTACTTTAATTGGTGATCATTTCCTTTATTCTCATGACCTTAATCTGTGATTCAGTGGTGATATTGTGGAGAGAAATTAGATGCTAGTCACTCTCAGGGGTCAAAGGGTTAAGTTTATGACTTGAGTTATACTCCAGGAAATATTTATTGCACTGGCTTTCAATGTTCATATTCTCTGTCATGGTAAAGACATTGTTTTGAACTGTGGTGAAACATTTTAAATTTCTTTAGGGATGGGAGCAAGGAGTGATAGGCATGAAAAAAGGTGGAAAGAGGTTGATTGCCATTCCCTCTGCTCTGGCTTATGGAGAAAAGGTCAGATCTTAAGTTAAACATTTTAAATCTAAAGGGGAGTGTGAAATTCACTGACCCTTGGTTTCTCTCAACTCTGATAATTGTAAACAGAACTGGTTTCCCTCACCTTGTCGAACTTTGTCATTATAAGGCAAGCAGGTAATGAGAACACTCAGTTTGACCAACTAAACAGTGAGATCTTGGGAGTGTAAGGGTAACTATGGATTCATTGTAATTGAATGATGATACAAGTACAATAATTGGCAGTAAAAAACATAATGTTATTCACTTAGTTTCTGTTAACTGTAATTGATTGATATTTTCCTAGATTGAACTTGAAGATAAGTTTCTCTGCATCCATTGCAAACATTGATCATGTGTGTTTCTTTGCAGGGTGTACCTTCCAGAGTGCCTCCTAACTCCTCTCTCTTGTTTGAAGTAGAGGTTTTAAGGGTATGTAAAAGATACTTCCAAATTACAAACATCCCATCATTTACATCAAGACACTGATTAGTGGTGATAGTTATGATAACCATGATAACACCAATGATAGTTATAGTAATAATAGCGATGAAAGTAATAATGACAATAATTTTAATAGTAATGATAATCATAATAATGACAATAATAATAACTTAACATTCAAGTAATATCAAGCAAAGAAAAAATATCCCTGTGTTTTTTTTCATGAAAAACAAAACATAGTGCTGTTGACTCATATATTGATTGAGATCATTTGTCAACAGATTAAGTCCAGTAGAGAGTCCAATGAATCTCCAATGACAGTTCATGAACCTTCTCCAGCACAAAATACTGATCAACTGCCTGACATTTTGTCTGAGCCTTCTGGCACAAGAAAAAAGTCTACAGATTCTGTTTCGTCGCTAAGGTAACACGAAATTATCTATTGAAAAGTGTGCAGTGTAATCTCACCATGGAAATAAAGGGTGTGACATGATATTGTGTAAGTTGACGAGGCTCTGTGAAAATCACTTCATTTCATTTCTTAATCTCTTCACTGCACTATATTGAGCATACCACACAGGTACATAGATTGGTAATTTAAGATTATTTCTCAGAGTCATAGAAGCTTGTTAACATGGTGATCTTTTATGTAAAAAAATGAGGTCAGTTTGATGGGCAAGGGTTATTTGGCTGTTAATAATTACCTTTGGCTAAACAGTTCTACTTGTGATCCTTAGTGTCCCAGGAGACTCTGGAATTAAAGGGAGAACTGCGTCAATCACAGAACAGCTTTCACAGGTCAGGCAGTACTCTGTTTGTTTATCTGATGAAGCTTTTGTTATTGAAACTTTCAATGCCACTTACCATGCTAATTGTTTTGTTATAAGAGTCTATTAGAAATTTGTCAGTTGTAGCTCTGCACAAATGTTTAATCTTGGGACAGGTACTCAACATACTTGCAAGGGTTTTGCAGTGGCATTGCTGCATGTTTTTGTTAAAATTTATTTTCCCTGCTACAACAGATACATTTGAGCCTGTTTCATTCCCTTCCTTCTCTCCCTCCCTAATTTTGTAAAAGTGTTTCTTGCCCATTGTAAAAGTGTGGCAGTGATATCTTTACAGGTACTTGAAAGGGGGCTGTGGCTCAGTTGCCATGGTGACCTCTCAACAAAGAGATTGTAGTCCTCCTGTGTTGCTAGCACACCCTTTTCCAGACTCAAATTGTCTCTCTGTTGTGTAGTCTCCAGGGAAAAACACAGATAAGGCTCGTTTACTTGCACGGATGTCCAAGATGGGAAAAAATCCTTTATCCCTGCCTGGAGCTGTGGTTGCCGAACCTGAAAATGATGAACTGGGAGAGCAGGAGCAGGTAAGTAACACAGTCATCTCCAACAATTGTATCTATCATAGTCATACGTCTGCAGTAGTATGTTAATTTATGAATGAATTAATGAAACATTTGGTCTTTAACCTCAGACAAAAAGTTACGGAAGAGAATGGAAGCAAACTTTATAGTTTGATTAGAATTCTAACTACCTCTGAAGCACATAAATAATCTTTTAGTCTACAATGAGTATTTTCCAATGTAAAATGAGGACAGACTCAATCTTTTTCTCATACTAAAAAAAGGCTTAGTGGTAGAGCATTGGAGCGCGGAATCCGAAGGCCTGAGGTTCGATTCCACATAGTGACTCAGATTTTTTTCTTTGTCCCACGCTCGTGACGAGACGAAAAACGTCTTTCTCCAGATAGTGTTGATTGTTTATTAAAATTATTTGATAGGAAATTCCAACTCATGGTGAGTTCAGTACTCCAGAAACAGCAGATGGAAAGACAACAAATCCACCAGCCATTAGCTCCAACCCTCATCCTAATGTTCGCCCCAAGCCCCATCCTCCTCCGCGACCAGTACCTCAGGTTCACCCAGAGGTCCATCAGCCAGTCCATAATCCAACGCCTCCTGCACAGCCAATCCAACAGACTGTCATGAACCCACAACCAGTGATGCAGCCAGCTTTCACACCACATCAGCAAGTTGCTTTGTATCAGGTTGGTTTTAATAAAATTAGTAAAAAGAAGTTGTTTAAAGCTAGCAGATTTTATCCTATGAAAGTGTTGCTTTTATTTAAGTTTTTTAATAAGTTAGGTAGACCTTTAATGTAAAAGTAAAAGTTTATGTCTAAGGACCTTTCCGCGCTAGCGGCAAAATTGTTTATTCAGACAAATTCTGTGTTATCACCAACATTTTACAAGTGCGGATGGTTGGTCGCGACTCGGCAAATTTTAGCCGAGGCGGGCAAATCTTCAAACGCACCGCTGACAAAATTAGCTTTGGTCCCGTTTTAAAAAAAAATGGAAAAATCGACTACAAAAACAAAAGCGTGATAGACTTGTCAATCATTTGTCGTATAAGCTACGACAAGCGTGTTACTGAACTGAGATCAGTTTACTCGAAAGGCAAAAATTGTCTTTTGCAGCAAAACTCGGAAATTCTAAAATTTTAAAACGACATAGTATAAATCCTGGAAATTGGAGGTGGAATCCTTTGGCAAACTATGCTGGTTGGTCTTATGAACAGATTAGGCGCTGACGGAATTTTACGGCTTTGAAATTTTTCATGCGGATGCACCAGACGAAACAAAAATTTGTCAGGACAAAATTTGTCCTTTGATTTTGTCGGGACAATTCTAGTTTTGTCCGCTAGTGCAGAAAGGCCCTAAGATTGCCCTAGAGTTACCAATGACAACAAACATCTCGTTTCCAAGAGTGTCCATCAAGCAAGTTGTACAAAACTGCGCTGTGCTTCAACAGTTTCTTATTTTGAGAGCCGTTTTTTCTTGCCCTCAGCAGACTTAGTGAAATAAGAGTGACTTCATTTTTGCATAGCCAGTGTGTTAAGATGCTCACAGTGACGATGCTTTAAAAGCTCTAAGTAGAAGAAAATTACAGAGTGAGCCCTATAGCTAAGTCAAAAGGCGCCTCATATGTTAAATTTGAAACAGGTTAAACGCTAGTCTGAAATATGATACATATGATTAGGTTATGTTTTGTGAAACATTTTGAGCTACCGAGAAGTTAGTTTTGGACAATGACGAGAGAAATTGCTTCTTTGCCCTGTTATTGCAAAACGTAAGATTTTGAGTCGCCCTCTGTGGAAAATGAGAATTTGCTCATGAGGAAAAGAAGTCATTCTTTGTCTGCTGTCTCAGAAAAATGCAGTTCCAGGTTTGATAACCAGCCGTTTGAATAATCCCACGGGAGGAACAAAGATTTGAGATAGTGAGCTTACTAGAGAGGTAAATGAATGAAGGGGGTATGTTTCTAGAGAAACTGTAGTGCTGCGTCGGTGGAGAATATAACAAAATAATTTAGTTTTATCAGCTGAGTTGAAAATGGAAATTGGCCACCGTAAAGAGGTTCAAAGCTGATGTTCCGAACGTTAGCCCTTCGTCAGAGCAAATCAGAGAGGTAGCTGATGACAGATTAAGTCAACCACTGTTCTGGTTTTATTCTGTAGCCTCCAGCCAGCATGGGGTATCCCATGATGGGACCTCAGCCACAGATAATCACTGCACCATATTCAGTCCCACCCCCTACTCCCCCAGCCCCTCCACCCCAGCCCAGTGCTAATGACGCAATGGTCCCAGTGCTTATGGCAGAGACACGGCAACAGCAAGGTGAAATACGCATGTCTATTGGCAAGTTGTCAGACAAGATTGACGAGCTCTCTAACAAGGTGAGCTTACTTGATCATCGGTGTTACGATATTATTTCATTCCTGAACCTGTCTTCGTCGAAAAGTGATGAATAATTTATTAGAAAGCTCTTATTTCTTAGTAATGCCTTTTTCTACAGGAGCGGGATAAATTCAAGCCCTATGATATGAGAAACTACATGTATGAAATTATTGTTTGTTTCCCAATCAGTATCTTGTTCGTATAGTTTCTCTTCTTTTGAAATAAGTAGGTTGGCATTGCAGCACTGCGATGCATGAAATATCAATATAAAAATGTTTTGATTTTATCTCGAGCACCATATCGTGAAGTGAAATGTTCACAATTTGCATCCTCTTAGTAGAACTTTTGAATGAACAGTAAGTACACTCCTGCTCCGTATGATCTTTAAACTTCGTTCTATCGAAGTCTTTACGTGACTCAATACAGTTACCAGAAACTAAATTTTCGGCCGATTTTTGTCGTAGGTTGAGCGTCATCAGCAGAACACAGCACAGCATGGTGGACAACTAACACAAGTTGGTCAGATGGGAATCGGTGCCTTTGGTAATCCACAAGCGGCAATGGAAGCTGCTGTTTTAGTTCACAACATCACCAGAATAGTGCAGGTAATACATTAGACTAACTTGGTCAAATATGCGTTATTTTTGGTACTTTTTCGTGCCAACCTTCAACATATCGCATATTCAGTATGATTTTGATGCGGCCAATATCTTGCTTTGCTGGAGAACAGACTTTCAAATAAAGCCGTTATCCTCACAGATTTAAGCAATAGTCCACTTACAGTTGCGTGCTTGGTTGCCAAGCCTTTGAACAGGAGTGAGGCTAAGGGTGACCTTTTTATGATACAAACCTTGCTGCTAATCAAATGCAAATTACTTTGTTTTCATGCTAACGAGATACTGGTCTCTATCACAACAAGGTCACCTTCAGCCTCACTCTAAATCAAAGGCTTAGCAACTAAGTACTCTAAAATGGCCCGGTGAAGAAACAAAGCTTGACTAAACTTCAGACTTTGACGGGATTGTAACCCGTGCCTCCAGATGCTAATAGGTATACCAGTAAGTATATTTCATGGCAATAATTTGTGCCAAGTATTTTATACGCAACGAGGGCAGGAGGGACATTTTGTGTCCTTCAGAAAGCCGGCCAATCACAGAACAAGCTACATTATTTAAAAAATAATGGGGGAGGGTGACTTTTCCTATCGATAATCAGCATTAAGGAGGGTTGTAGTCGTACCGAGAGGACTATTTTCGATCTTTAAAGAGGAAACCTCTTTGCGGAATTTTGCGTCATTATCTGGAGTTCAAGGACCATTAGACAACTTGTCATGCACATTGTCCGCACTGAGTTTGTCAGTAAGGCAATCTAGGTACATTCATTTTATAAAATCTCATTCCCTATGATTCTAGGAAAATGAAAAGTTAAAAGCTGAAGGTGCTGAAAAGTCCAGAAAGATTGAGACGCTGAATGACAAGATATCAGAGTTACTGCAAAAGAGTCAGAGGTATTTTTTAGTCGCATTAATTCCCAGAATACAAAAAGTTGACAGATGCATGTATATGAGCCCATTCCAATTTCCTTTTTTTTATTAACTCTCGCCTTATAAACTCAGGAAGTAACGTGTGGTTGTGTTATGATTTTCAGATTTGTTGAACATAGCAACACGATGTTGGAACAAAGGAGTGATTCTTTACAAGTGAACACAGCACAGTCACAAGCAAGGGTGTTATCGCTAGAACAAGAAAAGGTAATCTGCAAACTCATTTTCTCTGTTATGTTGGGTGGAATATCTCAGAAAGCGTTGTTGGGACAATTCCTGCCTCCCCTTCCCCCCCTCAATGTTGGTCTGCAAGATGGCATAGAAACATTAGCAATTAACAAGATTGTAAGGGGGAGAGGGGTGAAAGAACATCATAGACATTGATCCAGAGAAGAGGTCCAACTCATTATGTCTGGGAGCGTAGTTTGATATCCAAATTGTATTGTTTATCTTTAAATTGTTTGTCGTTTGTTTCTTAGATCACCATGAGCAGCGAGCTAACATCAGCCAAGACACATTTGGCAGCTCTACAGAACGAAGTAGCGTTACTCCGTCAAAGGGAAGCAGAGCTCAGTGGTCATCTCAGCAAGGCGACATCAGAAGCTGAAAAATACAGAAATGACCTGATGCGAGCTAAAGATTCGCACACAGGTTGGTTTGGAAATGAGAAGTGTTCGCTAATGGTTGACACAGATCAAGCCTGTACGTAAAGTAATTCATACCAAATGTGTGTCAATATGCCGCTAACTTGGAGGAAAATTTTGGAATTTGGCAAATTATTTTAATACCCATCTTGTTGAAGAAAGAATTTAAAGAGACTTCTTATCTTTTCTATAAGAAAATAGATGTTCTAGTTCCCATCTATCGAACAGGGAAATAACAACGATTCCAGAGCTATCGTCTCCAGTTACCAGCTTTCTATTTTATCTCCCTCTTACCTCTTCAAATTATGACGTGTCTGATGCTTTCCAGATTGAATAAATTCTTTACGTAGCTGTTTTTTTCCCATCTTGCTCTCTTCTATGTGTAAGCCTTGCATAGCGAGGTCAGGAAATCCAGGCGTATTTTTTATGGATTGTTTTTCTCGTGTGACTGCAGAAAGTGCAGAAGAGAGTGATAAACTGAAGCAGTCGTTTAAAGAGGAAAAACAGACAAGGAAAAGACTGGAAAGCAAAGTGGAGCACATTGAAGAGGAGTTGAATGATTTGAAACATGAAAAAGAAAGTTTGGAAAAGGTAGGAACAGTCAACTGCGTTTGGTATAAAACTTGACACCAGATAGATACTTGCTGATGTGATTTAGCCTCGCTACAGCTGTTTGCGCAGTGAATGACTTGATATTTTTGTCTTTCTTTTCAGGGTTTAACAGATCGAAAAAAGAAACATGCCGCCGACAAGAAGAAGTTCGAGGAAGAACTAGAAGATCTGCGATCACAGCAAGAGGTAACTGAAAAAGTTTTTAGGCTTCAGCTCAGGATCACGTCAACATCTGAGTGTTACTAGTTCCCACAGAAGGGCAAGTATCATGGATTAACAATTTCACACTCAGGTGTGACCAAGATGTGGTTTCTCTTTGTAATATCGGCACACTGTCAAGCAGAAAGGTAATGACATTTCGGAAAAAATGTCAATTAAGGGATATCATTTGAACCAGCATCAATTTATGGCAGATAGTAACGAGAATTACTATTATTGGAAGTGAATAAGTTAATTGAGTTAATTTTTGTAAGTGCTTTTGATTCCTATGGGATAGGCAGCGGTCTAGTTGTTACCGCGCTAGACTCTGGATTGAGAGGATTGGGTTCAAGTCCTGGGTCAGGGCCTTGGGCTAAGATCTTTGTGATGTTGGGTAAGATACTGTTTTCCCACGGTGTCCCTCTCTACCCCAGGAGTTTAAAGATGTACTGAGTGTGGTTGGCAAAGTTTATTAAATGCTAGGTGCTGGTCCACGATGGACCAGTATCCCATTCCGTGTTGGTAGTAATACTCCTAGTCGTTCTGTAATGTGCAAGCTGATCCATTGTAACTAGCAATTACAAATTCTATTGTGTTAGATCAGTAACATTTCTGCTCTCTGGTAGGAGGAGATAAAATTTTTGAAGGAAAAACACAGAAAAGAGAAGCAATCAAGTGGAACAGTCACAGCGCACCAGGTTAGCATTTGATGTTTGTTTTTTGCTTTGATCCCGATTTACAGTGCTTACATTTAATGTTGAGACAGATGTACAAACCCCGCGGCGTTTCGAGCCGACAAGTTATGCGAGAGTGCGAGATGTTTGAAAGGGCGTGCGAGTGTTGTGGCACATGCCAGGCCCCTCACAGACCTATGACGGTGCAGGTTGGCTGGTCAATCTTTTGACAATGGTGTGATGGGAAGAAAAGACAAATGTTCTGATTTTATTTTCAGGTCGCTCAGGCGGAAGCAGAACTTGAAACGAGATGGACAGAAAAAGCAGAAAAAATGGTTGCACAGACGGAAGAGAAATGGAAAAGGAGATTCCAAGAAGTTACTGATGAAAAGGAAGAGACAGTAAAAAAACTGGCAGAACTTCAAGAAAAGGTTATTAAAGTTTGTTTTTACTAGTTGGGAGTACTGCAAATTGAGCTCAGAACAGATATATTGTTAAGATTTCGTGTTCTTTGGTGGTACAAAATAAATTTGTGAAGTCAGTGCTAAAACTTCTGTCCAATCTGATCGTTTTCGGACATGTTTCCGTGTCTCGATACGACCTTCGAATCGACACAGTTAACGAAAGAACATTGAAGTTAACAGACAGTTTTCCTGGTTTTCCTGAAGGTTTCAACGCTTAAAGCAGGCGACGATGAAAAACAAGAGAAGATCAAAGACCTTCAAGAAAAATTAGAAGATCTCGCCGGAATACGAGAAAAGGTAGGGATATTTTGGTGTTGAATGATGTTCAAAACTGCTCTCAACTTTTGAAGGAGAGTAAATAATATTGGTATGGTTATACTGGAAAACACAGAAAAGGCGACTTAACACATAGGAAGAACCGCTATGGCTTCGGATGAAGAAGCCTAACATAGATTGTAAATTAGAGATAAACGAGATGAAAAACTGTTAATTTGGCCTCATGAAGCAGTTTTGAATGTAGTCTATGTTATCTTCTTTGTCGTTTCCTTTAACATTCTCTTCCCCTCCTTAAGTTATCATAACCTTTCCAAGTTATCTGGCCTAAAAAAAAAAGAGAGATAAAGGTGAAGATTAGGGCGACGTCTTACAAATTTATGCGATGTGAGGGCGTTAGATAGAATGAAAAAAACCGACCGAAAGAAGTTTTTTCGTGATTATCTCAGAAGAGTTGTTTGCCTTTTCTTTTATAAAATAACAGTACAAGCGTCTTCAGGATTCTCAAGGTGACAGAGATTCGCAGATAGAAGCACTTCGCTCATCAGAACAAGAGCTAATCGCGCTTCAGGCCAAGGTAAGGAGAACAACATCAACTAGCGTCAGAACACGCGAAAAATTAAGTTTCACAAGGGGGTGGTGTCAAGCACGAGGCCACCGTGAAGGTCGAGTCACGTGCAGGCGGAAAACTGAGAAAAAAAAATGAAGTGTTTTCCTTGGTTCGCCTGAATACTCATGCAGACTTGCGACTGTTGAGGAGGCTTTTTTTAAATTTTTGTTTGTTTTGTCCAACTAAATAGTACCAAGAAGTTCGCTCCAGAACGTTGAAAATGAAGGAACAGTATGAAGAGCAACTGGCTTCCGCCGAAGAGGTTTGTCTAACTTACTAGAATTTTGTTACTTAAATCGGATGATGATTCCAGACAAACCTTTTCATCTGGTGGATTCGGTGTTGGTTTGCATGAAGACAAGGCCTCACATAATTTGTTAGTCTCATCGTTGTGTTGAATTTCATTTCAGGAACGTGAATCTGCTGTTTCAGAAGCATACAGTAAAGGATTGACGGAAGGGAAGAAACAGAGCGCTACGAGCAAAGAAAAATCCCCTGTCAACGTGACTGATGAAGTAAGTCGGAATTTCAATCAAAAAGCTTTTAACTTCTAGCTTACTTGGACGTCACAGGTTCGTTTTAGCATGTTATGTAAACAATATCAATTCCTTCGCTGAAGTTTGCCCGGAATCGTTATGGTAGCAATGCGTTTTGACTTTTATTACCTTTTTGCATTACACAGGTCAAACGTATTATGAACACGGTGTTCTATATGCTGAGAAGTGAGTTCGAAGCGGACGACAGTTATACAGGCTCGCAAGTCATGTCCGTAATTCTTAAAACCATTAAGGTATGAGCAATGTTTTACACAGGAGTCAATAGAAAGTCAGTCGACACGCAGTCAACCTTTTGAGTTAAAAATCCGTCAAATTGATCCTGTTGCAAGTGTATCATTGTTAAGGAAAGGCTCGATTTAAAATTCAGTGGCTGCCCTTGTTATAAACACAGACCGTTTGCTTTTTGATAAAAACTAATGCCTGTAATGGAAATTATATTTCTGGCTATTTGTTTCTCGCTGCATTCCTAATGGAGTAAATAGCATAGCAGTATCTTGTGAGTAGTGAACAGAGTACATTGTGCTGTTAACCTGAAGTCGAAAACGGAGTGATTTTTTCACATTCACCAAAATAGAGTACGAAATTTGGTGCTGCTATTGTGGAACTTCCATCCAAGGGACACGTTCGACACTGGAAACAGTGTCCCCTTGGTAGTGGTGTCCCTTCAGTGAAAATAGCAGAAGAGCTATTAAAGCAGTTCGCTCCGTTCAGACCCGGCAAAGTTTGTGTCCCTTGAATTTAGTCGTGTCTTAAAAAGATATTCCGTTACATTATTGAAAAACAAGAAGAGGAAAAGTATCCTCTTGCAAAAGTTTGGTAAATATGAGCCAGTAGATATCAACCAAGGGACGAGTCGCGAACTTCATGGTGAATGAATTACCGATGATGCAAATTTGTTTTTGTTACAGGAGGTGACCATGAAACTTGTGAGTGGAAAATCATCCAAGACGGAAGAAAGTGAAGAAGAGGAGGAGGAAGAGGATGAAGAAGAAGAAGCAGAAGATGAAGAAGATGGAGAAGAAGAAGAAGAAGAAGAAGAAGAAGAGAAGAGAAAGAAGAAGAAGAAGAAGAAGGAAAAGAAGAAGAGACACTTGTGGGTGGAGAAGCAGCAAGGAAAGAAGAGAACAGAGAAGAAGACCAAGAAGAATCAGAGGAAGAAGTGAAACCTGAGGAAACTGTTCAAGGTGTTGATGAAGGAGATGAAGATGAAAGAGATGAAGAGAAGGAAAGTAAAGAGTCTGTTACAGAGGAGGCTGATAACCACCAGCGAGAAGGATTCCAAGGAACTGTCGTTGAACAAAGCAAAGATGAAATAGAGTCCAATGAAATGAAAAATGAAGGAACCGAGCATTTAGCACACAACGGTGAAATCAAAGAAAAAGTGGATTCTGTAGCTGTAGATGATGTAGATGATGGTCATTTAGAAAGCTCTAACGATAGAGAAATCAATGAAAACACTGACAATTTAGACAATTCTTCCGAGGACTCATTTCAAGGAAATCAAATAGATGTTCCTTCTTTAGAAGAACTTTCTGCGGAGACAGATGAAGACGCTAGAGCCGATACTTCGGAAAAGGTTGTGCCATCTGTATCAGAAAGCGTAGAAGATGCTTTTGGCGTCTCTGAGCAACGTAAAGAAGAACAAGAGACACAAGGTAGAAATGACAGAGAACTTATTAACCTTTTCTTTATCGATAACCAAACGGACGATGATGTTTTGAAAAAGAGTAACCTTAGATTTTTCTGATCTAGAAAAGAGAAACCATGATCCAGATTTTTTAATATATCTTCTCGTCAACTGTTTGCTCGATACTGCATTTGTTACCCTTGGATAAATCGGTTAGACCTTAGGCGCCATTAAGCCGAAGGATGAAACCGCATGTATTTATTCAAATTCATCTTTGTTGCGGTTGTGCTTGTTATTGAATTCGCTGACAGCTCACTCTTTATAGCTTAGGAAAGGATAAAGATCTCGTGTATCGCTCATTCGCATCGTTTTTCTTCCGTAATGACAGATGTGCTCTTGCCAACATCTCAGAGTGAGGCCCCGAGTGAAGATAAACTTAAATCGTAAGTACATGTCTTGTTAGTTGAAATATATGATGGTAGTCTTGACTGAAGGGTTCGGTGTCTTTCGCCGACACCTCTCACCTGAGTGAAGAGGCACCGTGAGAGTAAAGTTTCATGACCCGTGTGCGCCTCGAACCCGAACCCTCGACCCGGAGTCTAGCACGCTCACTGTTATACCAGCGCTTCTCCCGCTGACACACATGGAATACATAGGGCTGGTTGTGGCCTGGGCTCGATTCCCTTAAATTGGGGGATAAATTTCTAAAGAAAGGTTGGTGCTGCGTCGGTGGGAGAGTATAACAGGGTAATTAAGTATTATCAACTGAATTAATAACGGAAATTGGCCACCTTTTAGAGTTTCAAAGTAGACGTTGCGTGCGTTAGCCCTTCGTCAGAGTTACTTCCACATCGTCATTTCACTCCGACGAAGTGTAACGTTCGATAGGTCAGCTTTGAAACTCCCTTGAGTTGATTGTTGGTTCTGAGTGAAGCTCCAAGGTTTTTTTCAAGGTTCCGCCCTTGTCCTTCCCTCAAAATATACACTTCAAATTCCAATTATATTGAGAGGCAGAGGACAAGAAGGCGCCCTTCGTGAATGTCCACTCTTGTGCTATATTTAAGTAATACGAAGGAGTGATGTGATAAGACGTTGAGCCAGACAAGGCTAGTTTCTTAGGGTCCACGCTGAGAAAGTCTTCTTTAACAGATGTATACTCTTTTGCTTTTCTTCATCAGACTGTTTGGTGACGATGAACATGACGATGTGGAATTTACGTTTGGATCTTTGTCAAAGAAAAAAGAAGAGGAAAAGCCGGTAGCTTATAATTGCGTGTTTGAACTCAACCGAGGCAACTTATGTTATACTCTGGTTTAACTGAACATCCTCTCAAATCCGTTCAACTCTCTGCCTGGATGCCCCCCCTCCCCTCCCCTCCCCTCCTCTCCCCCTCCCCCCCCCGCCCCAATTCTCCCCACCTGTATAATACCCGGCGAACGGCGGGTATCGAATTTTTATGCTACTTTAGTCGTCAATTTGACACTCGTATGTATTAGCTGTGATTAGAAATCATGAACTATTCAAATTTTGTGAACCACTCCCGACCAAGACATATCAAAAGAGACCAAAACACTATTGCTTAAAATATTATCGAATTGTTTGGAAAATATGTGGAATAAAACTAACATAAAGTGTGATTTTTTCCCCAGGATTCTCCACCGGCCCGTGCTGTGCCACCGCCGTTATTTGATGATGATGAAGATGATGATCTTGATTGGTTTAAATGAAATATATCGCAATTCTGACCAAACATCAGCGCCATTTTAGAAAAAGCCACATATCATTTTATCCTGTCCTGTAGCCCCCCTTGCAGTTATTGCAATATTCCTCCCTTCCTCCCTTGTAGTGTTGGCAACGAGAAAATCAACCAGCATGAAGAAAACTGAGAAAACTGAACACTAACATTCAGCATTTCAACTCATTTTGACAGACAGAAATACGGAAGTCGAAGGAAAAATCTTAAAAGTTCAAGATGTATGAATGCTGGTCAAACGGAGTTAAGTGATCAGCGCTATTATGTTGCACGCAATTTCCGAGTTGCCCAAGAGTTGCTCGAGTTACCTAGGAGGGTTAGCGCGAAGCAGTCGAAATGAAAATGACCAGTTTTTCTCATGGAAGTAAAACCTCCTTTACATATTTCTTCATTTAGTAAGTAAAGCGTTTTGAAAATTCGAATATAGTCTTTTATGTAGCTTTCACCGAGTTTTTCTATTGATAAGTTTATTCGTAATCAATTCTCTTACATACAATTGCCAACAGTTTAGTCTTATATTTTGAGTTTGTTGAATTAGTTAAACGACTTTTTATGTTATTATTTATTTCATTTTGCTTTAAATGGAGAAATTAATAGACAATAATTGCCAACAATGAATATGGAAAAATGGCGAGGAAACCTTTTAGTAACTTTAAAGGCTGGTGAAGTTGGGTTCTCTCGCTTGGAAAAAAAAACTATGGAAAAAGATGATGAATAAAGTTAGAAGCAAATAGACTTGCTTTGCAGTAAAATAAAACAATTTAGTTGAAACAAAAAAGAATTAAGAAGAATTACTTCGACATTGAAGTAAATGACAAAAAAGTTAATGGGATCGTGTCTGTGTGGGGCCATATCAGAGTGAACAGGAAGGTGCCCTGACCCTTGAGTGTCGCATCAAAGTTTTATTTTTCACATTTAGATAAAAATCTTGCGTTTATAAGAATTAAATACTTGGATGACTGGAAGTTCTTACGTAGTTATGATAAGAGAAAGTGTTATTACTGTTTGGCACGTCCGCCTTTTATTATATGCACGTTCGTCCTGTGATTTTAATGTAGAATAATAATACAAATTGTTTTTATCTATTTTGTGTTCCGGGACGAAAGGCTTGTGGATGAAGCTTATACTCCAACATCGCTGAATCTTGATCTGTAATATCAACTCCGAAATGAGTCGTGAAATATGATTATTTTGACATGTGGTTAAATCTTTGAAGCCTTTTCAAAATCTTAGACTCGCTCAGGGTAGACTTTCATTCCAATGTGATAGGATGATACCCAAGAGTTGACTAAACATAGAAGTGGTTATGATGAAGAAGCCTTTTAACAATCTTTCAAATAAGATAAGGAAAGTCCATTTACAAGTTACACTAGACGGAATTGAAAACGTGTCAGTTTATAATTGAGATAGTATTTATGTAATAAAATGGAAAAAAATGTGAATTAAAAGTAAAGACAAATTTAGAAGAAAATGTTACACTTTTTTCAAAGTTGAACGCGGAGTTCCGTTAGTCCCAGTCTACCAGCCATCTTGTGTCACGTTCAAACAAACGGAGAGGGACTGGCTAAAAGAATCCAAGTCCTAAATGAGTCAATAAAGGAAAATAAGTCTGCCCTACAAATCTTCAGCAGGATATGAGAAGACCTTAAGCAAAATAATTTCTTTTAATTAAACATTAGTAAACTTGAACATCGCAAAATGACAACTACCCCTAATAAACTTATTGAGTCCTGAAAAAAAAAATTTTCTACAACTAAAGTTACAGATGTCTCTTTATTAATGGCTGGCCTGTCTCTTAAACATAGATTCTTGAAAGCGATTTTTACCAAACATAATAACCTTTACAAACTAAACTAGAGGTCACCAACGGAAGTCACTCAACATAGAAGTTTACAAAACAGACCTATACACATATATCTGCAATAGAATATTACAGACTGTAAACTGCTCCTAAAACTAGAATAGTCTTGAGAATGTTTTGTGTCGAGACGAATGTTCATTGAATATTTGAAAATTTTAGCCCGTGAAAAACTGATCACTCAGGCAATCAATTTCAAGGAAAAATTTTAAGCATTATATTCCGTATAGATACAAGAGACATGGAGAGCGCTATATCGACCTTATTGCGATTTTAAAACTTATTTCTTTGCAAAAAGAGCTGTCGAAACATTTAATTACCATATCCTTTTATAAGAAAATACAAAAAAGTGGAAAAAAAAATTGGAAAAATTTGCTTCGCTTAAATAACTAATTATTTGCGAAAAAAACTGCTTTATATTTGTTTGGTTATCGCTTCTGGAAAATACTTACTCAGATTTTGTTTGTTTTGACATATGAACTTTGTTCACAGCTTAACTGCCGGCTAATAAACACTGAATTATGAACTGTCTTGTTCCAGATTGTTACACAAAGCGTTCACAGAAGAGTTTTTCGTTAATCAATCTTGTCCTTCATAGACGGCGTCCTCTTTCCACAGGAAGGCAATTGATGGTTGCAAATTTTACTTGGTCCATTTCAAAGGATTCGCTGCTCCTCCTGCTCTGTCACTAATTTCCATTCTGATGGCCAGTGCTTTCTTGTAATATTCTTGTGCCATGTTATATTTAGATTGAAACACTGTTCCTAGGTTTCCGTAATCTAATGCTTCTCCTGCTCTGTCACCAATTTCCATTCTGATGGCCAGTGCTCTCTCGTGATATTCTTGCGCCTGGGCATAATTACCAAGCGATCGGAACACTGTTCCAAGGTTTTCGTAATCAGCTGCTTCTCCTTCTCTGTCGCCAATTTCCAGTCTAATGGCAAGTGCTTTTTCGAGATATTTTCGCGCCTGGTCATAATTACCGAGCATTTGGAACACTGTTCCCAGGAATCCTTGCTCCATTCCTTCTCCCTTTTTGTCACCAATTTGTGTTCTGATGGCAAGTGCTTTCTTGATATATTCTTGTGCCTTATCATAGTTACCACGCAATATGGACAGTCCTCCTAGTTCTCTGTAATACACTGCTTCTCCGACTCTGTCACCAATTTGCTTTCTAATCGCACGGGCCTTCTCCAGATATTTTTTACATTTGTCATATTCTCCAAAGGAATAAAGTGATGTTGCTAAGCCTCCGTAACAAATTGCTTTTCCTCGTTCGTCGTCATTCGTTTTCATGATTTTTATTGCTCTCTCATAAAATTTTCTGGCCTCCACAAACTTCGATTGAGTGTAAAGTGTAGTTGCTAGTAATAAATTTAACCTTCCCTGTTGGACGAGAATTGAGTGGGTAATTGGTCCATCCTTATCAAGCGGCTGACTGTTTAGTAAACTCAAACATTCCTTACACAACTCTATGGCTGGTGAAAGACGACCAGTGTTTAGAAGGAAATTGGCGATCGTCGTACCTACCAAGACCACTTGCACTGTGTTTAAAACCCCTTCTATGTTGTCCATTGTTGGCTTCTTTGCTGTAAGTTTGAAAGAAGTGAAGGAAACATTATACATAAGAAGGGAAAAAAATTTGCAGCGCGCAAAACGCTGTTAACGGCTTAGCTCGTCGGTAGTTCTTCTTATACGTAAATGATGAGAGGCTCTGAAGGAAATGCTTTTAAGTGAATACTCTTTGAGTTCTCATTGGCTTTTAAAGGGTAATTCTCTTTATTCTGATGGGCTGTTAAGATTACTTTGGTTTTGATTTCACACATAATTAACACTCAATCGAAAAGTGCTCTTATTACTTAACTTACCTAGTTTCTTATTAATTTTGGAAAGGAAATTCCGGATAATTCATAACAAACATGTTTTCTTATATTTTCCAATTAACTGTTTCATTCATCACAACCAGTTGCAAAGAAAAATCATGTTATGGATATTAAAAGGAAAGTACCTAAAGTATCCATGGATTAAAAGTATTCCAACTGTTTCCAAGTGAGACCCTCCAGACACCGTGGAAAAGGAACAGGAATCTTACAAGACGTCACGAATGAGATTTCTGGTGCGAGGCTTTCAATTTACGTCAGCAATTGGATTTGTGTAAGACACTTATTTCAAACAAGACATTCTATGAACAGTTTTGAAGTGCTTGAGATATGTCACTACAGTTAACTCCCAATGCACACTGCTTTAGTTAATCAGCTGACAAATGCAAGATTTCTTCAGAATCTCCTATTGCTGATGCCAGTATAGAAACCAAGCTGTGTGAATACTGTTCCTAGGTTTCTCTACTCCGCTACTTCTTCCCATCTGTCACCAATTTTCATTCTGATACCAGAAGCTGTCCATACTTATCGTTTCAGTTTTTAATCATGGACACGTAAAATTCGCGCTCGCTGAAACTTGCTAATCCAACTTTTGTTACTGTGTAATTCACTCCAGATCAACAAAGCATGACTCGCTTTCAAATTTGAAGTGTAAATAATCTCTAAGAAAGTGCCAAACCATCACGGTGCGACCTATAAAGCCAATGTGACATTAATTCGTACTTAACACTAAAAATCAACCCCTGTTCGACTTAAAATAATTTCTTACTATTGGTTTTTTCTTTCTGTGATTTCTCTGGTCATTTGTTTGTTATCATTGTCTTAGAATAAAGTTTGTAGTGGATTGGCTGATTTTGGAACTTCACTAAAAGAGGCACACAGAATTTCGGTTTTTATGTAATCACATGTCTATATATGTAAAGGCGTCATTTGCAGTCAGGAAAGATTTCCGGTTTGAATTTGCGATCATTTGCATTTCGGAATATATTGATTGCTTGAAGCCAAGAATTTGAGATATTGTAAAATACAGAAAAATAAACAGCTCGATGAAATATTTAAACACAGTCACTGGTTCAGTACGAAAGAGTTATTCGCCATAATTTCGAACAAAAATTCTCAATGTTGGAGCCGCGACTTTTTCCCTGGCCAATGAATTACGGCAAACTTCATCCGTCCTGTTTGGACTTGGAAAGGGAGCGCTACTCACTTGCCCACTGGCACTGAATTATTCGACTGTTTAGTGGACAAAGAATTCGATTGTCATTTAATGAATATTATTATACATTCAACTCACTATCTCTTTTCTGATTGACCGAAAGCGCTCAGTGATCGCGTGAATTTTCGAAATCAGCTCCTAGGACGTCTTTTAGCCGCAGATTATACAATAATCATGTCATGGACACTCAAGGCCACCACGAAGCGACAATTTTTTCTCTTCGTTCAATGTATAATAAAACAATAATTAGATTCGGTTGTTGTGATATCCAGAATAATCAAGGTCTCTTCAAGGGTTATCAGCATTAGCCTTCGGCTTCGGCTGATAACTCCTACCTCAAACTTGATTCTTTTGAATATCATAAAAACCTCATCAAATGATCGTTCAGTAATTTCATTGAGTGAAAATATAGGTGTATTCCATGTGAATTTGGATGTTGGGTTTGGTGACGTTATGTGATTTTAAACAGAGTATTTCATCCGTCGTCATCCTCTCAGTATTTAATTGAGATCTAATCTAGTTTTTGTCACCATTAGTTTAACGACCCGAACATCAAATATCAATTTCAGATCTTTCTTGAATTTGATCCATTTTAGATTTCATCAGTTCCTATTTTCATTGTTCTCGTCAGGTACCTTACACGGGCCTTTTCATTTTCCTTCATTTTGTCACAAATTGGCGATAAATTGGCTGGGGGGCATCCACGTGGGCCTTGAGTACCTTTACAACTCCCCTCCCCCCCCCCCCAACACATCCTAGTATATTCCAATGAAACACAGGTGCAGCCCCCTCCCCTCCCTTCCGTTAAAAAATAAGTTTTCTGACTGGTTTAAAGGTACATAGATAACAGACCACAATAGTAAGAAAAACAAAAACGTAATTTGCATCTGTAAAACGAGGTTTATTGCTTCTTTTACTTCAAATTCGTGCTCTCAACAAACAACGTCATGCACATTTTTGGTTTAGCCTTGGAAAGTGAAACTTTTCCAGTTTCTGAATAATCAAATCATCCTAACATCAATGAATAAACCTTAAACTTTCTTTGAAGGAATTCGAGAATTTTGAGAGCGGAAAAGGCTGCAAGCATTTCTTCAAATTTGTTGGCTAAATTTTCGAGTATAAAAATTAGCCTTAGCTGTGAAGAATTTCTATCATCATTCGAATGATCGCTCAGTGCAGTAATCTCAAATTCCAAATCCGTGAGAGACATATCAATTGTTAATTGTTACTTAAAGATTGTCTACCTGAAACCTCAGTAGTGACACCTGTTTGTCTCGATGTTTCATTCTCATCTAAATAAATACTTTAATGGTAACACTTAGGTAGAAATGTCGTCGGTTTAGACAACGCCCGTAAAAGCCCACTACTAGAAAATGAAAACATTCACTCATCGCACACAGATAGCTTACCTTTTACAGGAAAAAGTTTCAATTGTGCTGTGGTTGATCGCTTGATGAAAATTCAACTGCTCAAAAGGAATGAACAATAAGGCTTGTCGTTTCCTGTAAAATAAAGTGAATTGTTTTATCTTTTCATATTCAAATCCATCATCAGTAATGAAAGAAAGACGTAGAAAACTGAAATGAATGTACTTAAGATCGAACACATAATATTCGGGTGACCCGCAACTCGTCCTCCTTTCAATGGTAGGGAAAAAAAGGTATTAGTAACGCTCCTGTAATAGACATTCGTATTCCATTTTTCATCTTTACAGATCGAATTCTACTTAAGTTGGTCAATAGTCCAAAGTTATACAGCGATTGACTATGAAGAGGCCAGCTTTTTATATTCCATAAAAGGGTAACTCACTAAAATAATTACCCAAATTACTAGTGCTGGTTTAAAGCTATTTATCGATCGAGCCCGGTAGAATCGCACTGTTTGTAACTGTTCGTTGCGAACTCTTGACTTTTCATTTTCCATCGCAGATATCAGAATTTCCTTCTGCCAAGTCGCATCAACGACATGATCGGGACATGATCGGACGCTTTAAACTCCAAAGTCTTACTTATGTAAAGGCAACAGTAGTGCATACATAGCATGGTATCAGTTGTTTTAAGACAGACAGCACTTACCATGATCAGCAGTCTTCAGTGTCTTTCTTTAAAAATAAATTTAGTTTCCTCTTTTAGTCCTGTGAGTTTTTCCCTGCATACGTCCTTCGTCACTCGCATCAGACAGCCAATGAAATGCGATCATTGGCTTCTGGCACAAAGTCATCGGAACTGTCATCTTCACAGTCATTTTCGTTCTCAGGCCAACCAGTGGCCCTTTCTTCCTCAAAGGTCTCAAAAGGAGGATACCTTTGACGGTTGACGGTTAAAACGTTCCGATCTTGACACTTGACGGTTACATTTTATGGCATTTGGCTCTTGACGGCTATTAGGTAGATATCGTTTCCATTAGAATCAAGTGTACTTGTACATCACGCTCAAACAGAGAGTGAATCATTAAAATAAATCGGTAATTCAGGTTTTTAACCTAGTGTCGTGCTCTGCGCAGCTCAAGTGCACTAGAGTTAAGTATTAAAATAAACGTTTGTTATAAACTTTACAATAACTCAAGTAAAAGGCAACAATCACTGTTTCTTTGAATATTCATCCATTACATGGGGTATAACATGTAAATAAATATTGTAGAGCTCACCCTGTAAGATCATCGCCTGAAAATACACACTAATTAGCAGCTGGGAAGCTAATTTCAAATGCAAGGCATGAGATCAGGGGAGCTGAATGATCAGCTTTGTAAATGAACTGTGCGTCAATTTACATAGCTGACCATCCTATTTTAATGGCCGGAAAATTCTCTACGATAAGAGAGGACGTCCATGAGCAGGAGCCAATCGTTCGAAGGCCTAGGGAGGAGGATTCATCCAACACAAATTGCAAGAAATCAACATTTCGGAAAACTACACTACATATAAGCTTTGAATCTCTCGTCATATTGATGCGATCCTCTAAATAATTACATGTTAAAAGAAAGGATAATTTCAATGATGGCCGGTGGTCTTGATGAACAATGATTTTGTGTTGCACGCTAAATGCGTGTTGCCGCGCAAGTTTCTTCCTTAGTAAGTAAGGCGTTTTGAATTCGAAAATAGTCTTTTATCTTTTCTTTCGCCGAGTCTTTTTTTTGTTCAGTTTATTCGTAATCAATTCTTTTTCTTACAATTGCCAACAGTTTAGTCTTATATTGATTGATATTATTTATTTCATTTTGCTTTAAATGGAGAAATTAATTGACAATAATTGACAACAATGAATATGAAAAAAATGGCGAGGAAACGTATTACTAACCTTAAAGGTCGGTGAGGTTGGGTTCTCTCACTTGGAAAAAAAACAAGATGAATAAAGTTAGAAGCATGTGGACTTCCTTTGCAGTAAAATAAAGCAATTTGGAAGAAACAGAACTAAAAAAGTTAGCTCGACATTGAAGTGAATGACAGAAAAACTTTAATGGGGCCATCTCAGCGTGAACAGGAAGGGGTCCTGACCTTTAAGTGTTGCATCAAAGTTTTATTTTTCATATTTGGACGAGAATCTTGCGTTTTAAGAATTAACTACTTGGATGATTGGAAGTATGAAATTAGGAGATCCTCGCAGCTAAGAACACTACTGAAACGAGTAGTTGTAAATAGGACCTGAAAAAAATTTCAGGCCCGTACGGGATTTGAACCCATGACCTCTGCGATACCGGTGCAGCGCTCTACCAATTGAGCTAACAAGCCAACTGGGAGCTGGTCAATGAATTGGGTCCAAATAAACATCCAAGTGAATGAAGATTTTAGATATATTAGGCCCGTAGTAACATCCAAAGTGAATGAAAAAAATTTTTTTCAGGTCCTATTTACAACTAATCGTTTCAGTAGTGTTCTTAGCTGCGAGGATCTCCTAATTTCATCTTTCCACCGCAGTGCAAATATGTGAATTTTCATATATCTAAAATCTTCATTCACTTGGATGTTTATTTGGACCCAATTCATCGGCCAGCTCCCAGTTGGCTTGTTAGCTCAATTGGTAGAGCGCTGCACCGGTATCGCAGAGGTCATGGGTTCAAATCCCGTACGGGCCTGAAATTTTTTTCAGGTCCTATTTACAACTACTCGTTTCAGTAGTGTTCTTAGCTGCGAGGATCTCCTAACTTCATCTTTCCACCGCAGTGTAAATATGTGAATTTTCATATATCTAAAATCTTGATTGGAAGTACTTACGTAGTTATGAGAGAGTCTTATTACTGTTTCGCACCGTCTGCCTTTATTATATGCACGTTCGTCCTGTGATTTTAATGTAGAATAATAATGCAAAATATGTTTTTATCTATTTTGTGTTCCGGGACGAAAAACTTGTGGATGTAGCTTATATTCCAACATCGCTAAATCTTAAACTGTAACATCAAATCCGAAATAAGTCGTGAAATATGATTATTTTGATATGTGGTTATATCTATAAGGCCTTTTCAAAATCTTAGACTCGCTCAGGGTAGACTTTCATTCCAAATGTGATAGGATCATACCCTAAGAGTTGACTAAACATAGAAGTGGTTAAGATGAAGAAGTCTTTTAACAATCTTTCAAATAGGATGAGGAAATTCCATTTACAAATTACACCAGACGAAATTGAAAACGTGTCAGTTTATAATTGAGATGATTAATATGTAATAAAGTGGAAAAAATGTGAATTAAAAGTAAAGACAAATTCAGAAGAAATTGTTGTATTTTTTTCAAAAGTTAAACGCGTAGTTTTTGTCCAAAAAACCAAACAAGGTGGCTGAAAGGAGAGGGGGACCTGAGGTGATAGTCGATAGCTCCAGGGGTTCAGTTGCTAAAGGGGTTTGGGGGGAGCGCTGCGTAGGGTGAAAACAAGAGGAGGCCTGAGTCGATCTTTAGGCTATCGCCCAGGCTACGCAAGTCACCAGAGCGGAAAGAGATTGCTAGCAACCCTTTGGCTGAGCGCGACTTTTGTGAGCCGTTCACTAACTGAGCACCTGTACCAGGTTATGTCAGCTTGGGAACACGGTACAGAGTGGGTCCTGGCGGAAGCGGTGCTATTTTCAAAAGACGGAACAAACGGAGAGGGACTGGCTAAAGAATCCAAGTCCTAAGTGAGTCAATGAAGGAAAGTAAGTCTGCCTAACAAATCCTCAGCAGGATATGAGAGGACATTAAGTAAAATAATTGATTTTAATTAAACGTTCGTAAATTTGAACATCGCTACCGATAACAACTCAAGAAAATTGTTCTGTTTACCCAAAATCAGGCACAATAACCACTGCCCCTACTAAACTTACTGAGTCCTAAAATAAACATTTTTATAACTAAAGTTACAGATGTTTCTGTGTTGATGGCTGGCCTGTCTCTTAAACATAGATTCTTGAAAGCGAATTTTACCAAAAATGATTATGTTAACAAACAAAACTGGAGGGCCACCAATGGAAGTCACTCTGCCTAGAAGTTTACAAAACAGACCTATACACATATATCTGCAATATAATATTACAAATTGTAAACTGCTCCTCAAACTAGAATAGTCTTGAGATTTTTTTTTGTCGAGACGAATAGTTCATTGAATATTTGAAAATTTTAGTCCGTGAAAAACTGATCATTCGGGCAATCAATTTCAAGAAAAAAAATTGAGCATTATAATGTTTAGATACAAGAGACATGGAGAGCGCTACAATGTGATTTTAAAAGTTATTTCTTTGCAAAAAGAGCTGTCGAAACATTTCATAACCGTATCCTTTTATAAGAAAATACAAAAAAGTGGAAAAAAATTGGAAAAATTTGCTTCGCTTGAATAACTAATTATTTGCGAAAAAAAAAACTTCTCTTGTAGTTGTTTGGTTATCGCTTCCAGTAAATACTCGCTCAGATTTTGTTATTTTTTGACTTATGAACTAATCTCTGTCCGTAAGGAAGGCTCCTGAATTTTTTTCACAGCTTAACTGCCAGCTTATAAAGACTGAATTATGAATTGCCTTGTTCCAGATTGTTACACAAAGCGTTCACAGAAAGGTTTTTCGTTATCAATTTGTCCTTCATAGATGGCGTCCTCTTTCTACAGGAAGGCAATTGATGGTTGCAAATTTTACTTGGTCTATTTCAAAGGATTCGCTTCTCTCATGGCTGTTTGGATGTTTTAGACACTGGCCAGTTTTCAAAATCAAATGTCACGTTATCGCCAATAAGCATGAACGGAGCCCACTGAGAAACTTTTTCGAAGCCGTTCTTTCTTAACCATTTCCTGGCCTCGTGAAGGGATTCACTTGCACTTTTACCGCGGAACAAGTTTTGGTAGAAACATCTCATGAATTCCTCCGTGGCTGTGTCTTCTATGGCCCACCGTGCCGCCAACACTGAACGAGCACCAGATCCTAAGAACGCTCGAGCGATTCCAATAATTCCCTCGGCTTTAATCTTCCCACGTGCACTGTGACAACAGCTAAGTACCACCAGTTTAGCTCGCAGCCGAACTTGTGAAATGTCCGCCATGGTCAAAAGGAAGTTTTCGTCTTGTGGAATGAAGTCGGTGGGGCAATTAGGAGAAAGAGCAATCTCTCCTCTTTCTGCATCACCGTGGGCAGCAAAGTGAATCAGACTTGCTGAATTTATTGCGCCAAGAACTACCTCCTTTGTTGCACGGTCTCCAGTCAAAGGTGTCACTCCAAGAAGTCGTCCAATCATCTCTGCTTCCTTTCTTGCACATGGCAATGATGTTATGATCCTGCGTTTTCCTTTCAAAAGCACCTCGCCAACCTTAGGATCACCCACTATCAGTGCTCCTCTCTGACTGTGATAGTCTGGGGAACTGTCCCGAATCAGCTTTAGAGTCGTCAGAGAGGGAACGACACGGATCCTGAAGGTATCCACTAAATATGTTCCTCCATCATCACTGATGGCTGCAAATGGGACTTGGTACATACAGGATTCAGGGACAATTAAAATCTCGGGCTCCTTCAGTAAATGGGCCACGGGAGCGATAATTATCTCGTAACACGACTGAAGATTCGTTTTAAAATCTTTCGGATCAAAATCACGCATGAGCCCGCGATTGTCATGGTCATAGTGAGGTAGCATTGATTCGGTGTCATCTAATGAACGATCTTCGCAATTCTGTTGGAGTAGAATGCCAAGGCTGCGAAAGCTTTCTGTGAAATACTGATCCAAATCAGGAACTAATCTGGTCACCACACGTTTCTCCAGACTCACTTTCTTTCGTGAGAAATGAATGGCTCCTGATGCTTTGAGAATCCAGTACCGTGCGTGTTCTTTTTCAACTGAAATGTAAAGACATGTACAGTTTGTTTCTTTTGTAATGATGGTTTGAATGCCATGCCATGACTGTGGGTTGCCTGAGATCAACTCTTCAACAGAGTATTTGGCTGCCATGAAGTCGGCGAGGCCTCTTGCCCGTCTCAGCTCCTCAACATAAAGAGCATCTCTTGTCTTTCCGGTAGAAGAAAGCAATTTGCTGAGCAACTTGTATGGAAAATTGCCGTGCTTCTCTAAAAGAGAAGTCTTAAACTGATCGTTATCTTTATGGAAACCTCGCAACGTATCGAATTTTCCAATGCACTGAAAAAGATATGATATGGCTTCTTTGAGATTAAATTGTGATAGCTTCAACTGCGCTAGTTGACAAAGGCAGCTAAATTCATTAAAGTTGTGTCCAATATTCTTGCTTATTAATATGGCCCTCTTGATGTATTTTTCGGCCACGTTATATACGCCAAGTGATTGGAAACATACCCCCAAACTTGCGTATTCGACTACTTCTCCATCTCTGCCGCCAATTTCCTCATAGATTGCAAGGGCTTTCTTGTGATATTCTTGAGCTTTTTCATAATCATGAAGATGGTGAGAAATTCTCCCAAAATTACTGTAAACTGCTGCCTCTCCATGTTTATCGCCAATTTCCTTTGCTATTGCCAATGCTTGTACTAGATATTTATCTGCTCTAGGGTATTTTCCGAGTGACAGAAAAAAAGCTCCAAGGTTTGCATAACAACTTGCTTCTAGATTTCTGTTGCAAATTTCCTTACTAATTCGTAGTGCTTTCTCTAGATGTTCTTGAGCCTTGTCATGTTCACCGAGTAAATCAAACAGTCTTCCTAAGTTTCCGTAATCCGTTGCTTCTCCTTCTCTGTCACCAATTTCCGATCTAATAGCAAGTGCTTTCTTGTAATATTCTTGTGCCTTGTCATAATTACCACGCGATTGAAACACTATTCCAAGGTTCTTGTAATCCTCTGCTTCTCCTGCTCTGTCACCAATTTGTTTTCTGATGGAAAGTGCTTTCTCGTGATGTTCTTGTGCCTTTTTATAATTACCAAGCGATTGGAACATTGTTCCCAACTTTCCGTAATCCGCTGCTTCTCCCCCTTTGTCACCAATTTCCATTGTGATAGCAAGTGCTTTCTTGTAATATTCCTGGGCCTGGGCATAATTACCGAGCAACTGAAACACGGTTCCTAGGTTTCCGTAATCCGCTGCTTCTCCTTTTCTGTCACCAATTTCCAGTCCGATAGCAAGTGCTTTCATGTAATATTCTTGTGCCTTTTTATAATTACCAAGCGATTGGAACACTGTTCCTAGATTTCCGTAATCCGCTGCTTCTCCTTTTCTGTGACCAATTTCCAGTCTGATAGAAAGTGCTTTCTTGTAATATTCTTGTGCCTTGTAATAATTACCAAGCGATTGGAACACCGTTCCAAGATTTCCGTAATCCACTGCTTCTCCCTTTCTGTCACCAATTTCCATTCTGATGACAAGTGCTTTCTTATAATATTCTTGTGCCTTGGTATAATTACCAAGCGATTGGAACACTGTTCCTAGGTTTCCGTATTGCGCTGCTTCTCCTTTTCTGTCACCAATTTCCAGTCTGATAGCAAGTGCTTTCTCGTGATATTCTTGCGCCTTGTTATAATTACCAAGCGATTGGAACACTGTTCCTAGGTTTCCGTATTGCGCTGCTTCTCCTTTTCTGTCACCAATTTCCAGTCTGATAGCAAGTGCTTTTTCGTGATATCCTTGCGCCTGGTTATAATTACCAAGCGATTGGAATACTGTTCCTAGGTCTCCGTAAGCCAGTGCTTCTCCCCCTTTGTCATCAATTTCCAGTGTGATTTCAAGTGCTTTCTTGTAATATTCTTGTGCCTTGTTATAATTACGAAGCGATTGGAACAAGGTTCCTAGGTTTCTATAAACCACTGCTTCTCCCTTTCTGTCACCAATTTGTGTTGTGATGGAAAGTGCTTTCTCGTGATATTCTTGTGCCTTTTTATAATTACCAAGTGATTGGAACATTGTTCCTAGATTTCCGTAATCCGCTGCTTCTCCCCCTTTGTCACCAATTTCTAGTGTGATAGCAAGTGCCTTCTTGTAATATTCTTGTGCCTTGTTATTATTACCAAGCGATTGGAACAAGGTTCCTAAGTTTCTGTAAACCACTGCTTCTCCCTTTCTGTCACCAATTTGTGTTCTGATGGAAAGTGCTTTCATGTAATATTCTTGTGTCTTGTTATAATTACCAAGTGATTGGAACAGTGTTCCTAGATTTACGTAACCCACTGCTTCTCCTTCTCTGTCACTTATTTCTAGTGTGATAGCAAGTGCCTTCTTGTAATATTCTTGTGCCTTGTTATAACTACCAAGCGATTGGAACAAGGTTCCTAAGTTTCTGTAAACCACTGCTTCTCCCTTTCTGTCACCAATTTGTGTTCTGATGGAAAGTGCTTTCATGTAATGTTCTTGTGCCTTTTTATAATTACCAAGCGATTGGAACATTGTTCCTAGATTTCCGTGATTCACTGCTTCTCCCCCTCTGTCACCAATTTCCATTGTGATAGCAAGTGCTTTCTTGTAATATTCTTGAGCCTTGTTATAATCACCAACGGATTGGTGCAGAGTTCCAAGGATTCGGTAATCCACTGCATCTCCAATCTCATCAAGCGCCCGACTGTCTAGTAAACTCAGACATTCCTTACACAACTCAATGGCTGGTGAAAGGCGACCAGTGTTTAGAAGGAAATTGGCGATCGTCATACCTATAAAGACCACTTGTACTGTGTCTAAAACCCCTTCTATTTTGTCCATTGCAGTCTTCTTTGCTGTAAGTTTGAAAGAAGTGAAGGAAACATTATACATAAGAAGCGACTGATTTAAAAAATTTACAGTGTGCAAAACGCGGCTGACGGCTTAGCTCGTCAGTAGTTCTTCCTTACACGTAAATGACGAGAGGCTCTGAAGGAAATGCTTTTAAGTGAATACTCTTTGAGTTCTCATTGGCTCTTAAAGGGTATTTTTCTTTCTTCTGATTGGCTATTAAGATTATTTTGGTTTTGATTTCAGACACAACACTCAATCGATAAGTGTTCTTATCACTCAAGTTACTCGTTTTTCTCAATAATTTTTGGAAAGGAAATTCCAGATGATTCATAACAAGCATGTTTTCCTGTATTTTTCCAATTAACTGTTTCATTCATCGAAACCAATTCCAAAGAAAAGTCATGTTATGAATATTAAGACGAAAGTACCTAAAGTATCCGGGGCTATAAAGTTTTCCAACTGTTTCCAAGTGAGACCCTCTAGAGACCGTCAAAACACAGAAATCTTACAAGACGTCTCGAATGAGGTTTCTGGTGCGAGGCTTTCAATCTACGTTAGCAATAGGATTTGTGTAAGACACTTATTTCAAACAAGACATTCTATGAACAATTTTGAAGTGCTTAAGATATATCATTACAGTCAACTCCCAAAGCATGCTAATGCAGTTAATCAAAATGACAAATGCACTGCGATTTCTACAGAATCTCCTGTTACTGATGCAAGTGTAGTAACCACCCGATGTGCATACTGTTCCTTAGTTTCTCCAATCCACTGCTTCTTCCCGTCTGTCATCAATTTTCATTCTGATACCACAAGCTGTCCAACCATATCGTTTCAGTTTTTCATGGACAAGTAAAATTCGCGCTCGCTGAAACTTGGTAACCCAACTTTTGTTACTGTGTAATTCACTCCAGATCAACAAAGCATGACTTGCTTTCATATTTGAAATGTAAATAGTCTCTTAGAAAGTGCCACGCCATTGCGGTGCGACCTTTATAGCCAATGTGACAATCATTCGTACTTTACACTAAAAATCAACCCCTGTACGATTGCAAATAATTTCTTGGTATTGTTTTTTTTTTCTCTGAATTCTCCGGTCATTTGTTTGTTATCATTGCTTTGAAATAAAGTTTGTAGTGGATTGGCTGATTTTGGAACTTCACTAAAAGAGGCACACAGAATTTCAGTTTTTATGTAATCACTTATTTATTTATACAAAGGCGTTATTTGCAGTCAGGAAAGATTTCCGGTTTGAATTTGCGATATTTGCATTTCGGTATCAGTGGTTGTCTTTGTCACGCAATCTAGGAAACGAAAAGTAAATATATTGATTGCCTGAAGCCAAGAATTTGAGATATTGTAGAATACAGAAAAATAAACAGCTCGATCAAATCTTTAGACACTAGCACTGGTTCAGCATGCAAGAGTAATCGCCATAATTTCGAACTAAAAAATCCCTACAGCTCAAGATAGGAGCCTCGACTTTTACCCCGGCCAATGAATCACGGCAAACTTCATTCGTCCTGTTTGGACTCAGAAAGGGAACGCTACTCACTTACCCACTGACACTGAATCATTCGACCGTTCATTCGATCGTTATTTAATGAATATTATTATGCATTCAACTCACTACCTCTTTTCTGATTGACCGAAAACGCACAGTGATTGCATGAATTCAGCGCCTGAGACGTCATCTAGCTGCAGATTACACAATTATCATGTCAAGGACACTTAAAGTCACCATGACGCAACCATTTTTTTTTCGTTCAATGTATAATAAAACAATAATTAGATTCGGTTGTTGTGATATCGAGAATAATCAAGATCTCTTTTAGGGTTATCAGCATTAGCCTTTGGCTCGGCTGACAACCCCTACCTCAACCTTGATTCTTCCGAATATCACAAAAACCTCATCCAATAGTCGTTTAGTAATTACACGGAATTTAAATACAGCTGTATTCCATGTAAGTTTGGATATTGGGTTTTGTGACGTTACGTGATTTTAAACTGAGTATTTCATCCGTCGCCATCTTCTCAGTAGTTGATTAAGATCTAGTCTAGTTTTTGCCACATTAGTTTAACGACCCGAACATTAAACTTTAATTTCAGATCTTTCTTGAATTTGATCCATTCAAATTTCATAAGGTCCTATTTTCATTGTTCTCGTCAGGTACCTTCCTCAGGGCTTTTCATTTTCCTTCGTGTCGTCACAAATTGGCGATAACGGCGAGGGATATCCACGTGGGTTTACAACCCCCCCCCCCTCCCCAGCACATCCTGGTATTTTCCGATGAAACAAAGGTGCAGCCCCCTCCCCTCCCTTCCGTTGAAAAATAAGTTTTGTGACTGGTTTAAAGGTAATAGATAACAGACCACAATAGTGAGAGAAACTAACAACGTAATTTGCATCTATAAAAAGAAGTTGATTGCTTCTTTTGTTTCAAATTCGTGCTCTCAACTAACAACGTAATGCACCTTTTTGGCTTAGCCTCGGAAAGTGAGACTTTTCCAGTTTTTGATTAATCAAATATAGATATAAACATTAATAAACATTAAACTTTCTTCAAAGAAATTTGAGAATTTTGAGAGCTAAAAAGGATGCAAGCATTTGGCATCAAATTTGTTTGCTACTTTTTCGAATATAAAAATTAGCTTTAGCTGTGAAGAATTTCTATCATTATTCGAATGATCGCTCAGTGCAGTAATCTTAAATTCCAAATCCGTGAGAGAGATATCAATTGTTAATTGGTCCTAAAAGATTGTCAACCTGAAACCTCTGTAGTGACCCCTGATTGTCTCGATGTTTCATTCTTATCTAAATGAATACCTTTAATGGTAACACTTTGGTAGGAAGGTCGTCGGTTTACACAACGACGCCCGTAAAAGCCCACCTGTGTTTCATATTAAGTCTTTGTCTTCATCACGCAGTTTACACCCACTAGAAAATGAAAACATTCATTCATCGCACATAGATAGCTTACCTTTTACAGGAAAAAGCTTCAATTGTACTGTGATTGATCGCTTGATGAAAATCCAACCGCTCAAAAGCAATAAACACTGAGGCTTGTCGTTTCCTGTAAAATAAAGGAAATTGTTTTATCTTTTCATGTTCAAATCCATCACCTATAATGAAAGAAAGACGTGGAAAACTGAAATAAATGTACCAAAGATCGAACATGCACATAATATTCGGGTGACTTGCATCTCGTCTTCCTTCCAATCACAGGAAACGTAAATGGTCTCAGTTACGTTCCTGTAAAAGATATTCGATTTTCAATCTTCCTCTTTACAGATCGAATTCTGCTCAAGTTAGGTCGAAGAAAAAGGTTTTACAGAGATTGACCCTGAAGAGGCGGGCATTTTGTATTCCATAACTCACTAAAATAATTACCCAGTTAACTAGCGCTGGTTTAAAGCCATTTATTGATCGAACCTAGTAGTTGTAAATGGATTTCAAAACGTGGATTTCGTACACACTGTTTGTAACTGTTTTTACGAACTCTTGACTTTTCATTTTCTATCGCAGATATCAGAATTCCCTTCAACCAAGTCGCATCAGCGATATGATCGAGACATGATGGGACGCTTTAATCTCCAAAGTCTTACTTAAGTAAAGACAACAGTAGTGAATACATAGCATAGTATCACTTGTTTTGAAACAGACAGTACTTACCATGATCAGTAGTCTTCAGTGTCTTTCTTTAAAAATAAATTCAGTTTTCTCTGTTCGTCCTTTGAGTTTTTCCCCTGCATACGTCCTACGTCACTCACATCAGACAGCCAATAAAATGTCATTTTCCCAGTCATTTTCGTTCTCATGCCAACCAATGGCCCGTTCTTCCTCAAAGGTCTGAAAAGGAGGATACCTTTGACGGTTGACGGTTAAAATATTCCTATCTTGACACTTGACGGTTAAGTTTCAATGCATTTGACCCATGACGGTAAGTAGGTAGAAATCTTTTCTTTTGGAATCAAGTGTACTTGTACATTACGTTCAAACAGGGAGTGAATCATTGAAATAAATCGGTAATTCAGGTTTTTAACCCAGTGTCGTGCTCTGCACAGCTCAAGTGCAGTAGAGTTAAGAATTAAAATAAACTGTCGTTATAAACTTGACAATAGCTCAAGTAAAAGCCAACAATCACTGTCTCTTTGAATATTCATCTATTACATGGGGTATAACATGTACCCTGTAAGATCATCGCCTGAAAAAACACACGAATTAGCAGCTGGGACAATAATTTCAAATTCAAGGCTTGGAATAGGGGAGCTGAATGATCAGCTTTGTAAATAATTTACAAAGCTGATCATCCTGTTTTATTAGCGAGACATTTGGAAACGCTAGTTTTTAATTCTCTTCTGTCAGAGGAGCGTTCATGAGCAGAAGCCAATCGTTCGAGGGCCTGGGGAGGAGGATTCACTCAACACATATTGCAAGAAATCAACTTTTCAGAAAACCACACAACAGTTAAGCCATAAATATCTCGTCATATTGTTGCGGTTCTTGAAATCAGTACATGCTCAATTTCAATGCTGAACGGTGGTCTTGACGAATAATGATTTTGTGTTGCACGCTAAATGCGTGTTACCGCGCAAGTTTTTACATGTCGCTTGACTTATTTGATTGCGACACGAAATCACTGGGACCTAGTCGAAGTTAATTCTAACATAGCAGCATAAGTGTCAGTTGTGAATTTAAGTGAATGACGAAGAGAATTGCCTATTTTTTTAAATAACAAAACAGGATCAGTATCGGCTTCTTGAACATCAGTTCCCTTTTCGTACATGTTGGCTCTTATTTGGTGTCTCACAATGGCCGAAAAAAATCTGCAAGGGGGACCGTGTGTGGTATTTCAGTCAACTGGCAGAGTTAGCTAAAAATCTAGTTGCAAAACTTCTTGATGTGCTTATTGCTTCAATATTGTATAAATTTAGGT